CAAACATTTTGTGACAGAGACTGAGCAGCGCATCTCTATCCACCGTATGTACTGAATACCTGAAGGCTGTCAACTGATCCCTCTCAAATGACCTCATTCTAGACCAAAAAGAATATAGGAAATCAGAACTGTTAATGGCTTCACTTTCACATAGTTATGGTGTTCTAATACAATTCCTTGGTCTGTGTCCAAACAACAACAAAATTACATGACAAAGTCCCCAGCAATTTAGTTCCATTCATTCTTTATTAGGGGAGAGTGGACAAAAAATACTAGCTTATTTTCTCACCACCCCCAGCTCTGCCTCCAGTAATCTGTATTATGTATAAACTTTTACAATTTTTCAAAAGGAAGGAAAGAAAAAATCCCAAGTCTAGCTATGAATTTTCCACACCAACTTCACTAAACAGGTTTTCACTCAAGAACAACAAGAAGCTGAACAAAGTTTGAAATTTAAAAATTAATTAACTTTAGCTACTTACAAAATATGGCTAAGCTGATGGTGTTTATCTGCCTCTCTCATATCACCCTTTAGCTGTTCCTCACAGTTCATCAGTGTCTATTCATATCTTGTGTTACTCTTTGTACAATTGGGTAGACCAGGACCATGCTTGTTGTGAGTTTGTACACAGCCTAGCCTAACAGGCTCCAAGTTCAGGACATGAGTTCTGGTGTTCTAATAACCAGCAATATTTATAAAAATAACATTATTATTAGTAGTCTGAAAGGGAACATTTTATTTTCCTCCTAAGTTCCTAATGTCTCTTGCAAGGTCTCTCCTCCACTAAGCAAATCTGGTATTTAAAGATTGTACTTTGCAAATTGCCTCTGAAAATACATTTGCACACACACATGAAAGCGAAATTAAATAACACTTGCTAATCAAGCAAGGAAAGACACTTTTTTTGTCCACAATGAATATATAGCCCATTCAAAGAGCAAAGCTGTAAGTCTGATTTAAAGGACAGCAATGAATTCACACCTGGCTTCAGAAAGAAGGAGCAAAAGAGAAGTGAGTGAATTCAATGCAGCTGAACAACATATAACTAAAAGGCAACTGATTTCTTCCACACAAGCTCTAAAGATTCTTCTCCCATCCCATATATCACACAGATGTCTTTATCTTTAAAACACAAACAAACAAAAAAAAAAAGGGGTGAAAAAATCAACCCAAAACATAACAAACCACAAAAACTGTGGTTTTCATGAACTCCTACCAATGTCTGCCATCTTCACTCCAAAACCACTGGATCAGACTTGTACATGCTCCTTATTTTGCACCTGTCATAAATTTCACCTCACAAGATGGGTGAAACTGAGCCCGATGTTAAAGTGTAAGCATGAAGTTAAAGTCTTGCTTACATTGCTTGGGCTTTTGTATTCCTCTGCCATTACTGTGCAGCTTTCTGGGCCTTTAGTTTTCAGACTCTTCATCTGATCATTTTCCGTCATTTTGGAGCTATGTATTTGCAGGATCGAATCCACTTGTGGGAAATTCATCCTTCTGAACTACAAAGAGGTGCTCACAAACAAGCCTGTATCTGGAACGGGTCGTTCCATGGGTGAGGAATAGACACAGCATCCATAGTCAGCTGGATTAAGAATGACCTGTGGCCATACTCTCAGCCTGGTGACAGAAATTGGGCTGGAAATAAACTGGCAATTCAACTGGGCTGAACAGAATAAAGCACCAACACCTTTACTATTCATAACAGAAGAGAAAACATTGCAGCATGCTGGCATGTTATCACAAGCTCATGTTCACTACTAGCCCACATTCTCAACCATAGCACTCTGATGGTTTACAGACAAATTAGCATAATTCTGCTACTTGTAGTGGGGTTTTCTTCTAAGTATCTGATAAAGTCAGCATTGGAGACTGCTGATGGACACTACTTCAAAACTCCTTTCCTCATCAACAAACTCAGCAGTTTCCACAGACTGCATTAACCCCAGCATGGTACTAACATGGCTGTGATATCTCAACCAGGCTGCATACAAAAGATTAATTAAACAGGACTGCAAATTAACCCACGCTTCAAGACAAAGTACTAGCAATTACACTATTAATACTTTTTCATCTCATTTTAAATGGCTGAAAATCCAAATGCAGCCAAAGCAAATATGGGCTGCATAAAAAGGGTTTCATGTGCAAAATGAGTCTGCATAATCAGCACCTTGGTGTAATTTGTTTCCATATAGAGATTAATGAACTAGTCTGACAAAGTAAGAAATCACAGCACTTCTCAACAAGGCTTTACAGGCTCTCCAAGATTCTCTGGCTATTCTGCCATTACCCACCAGTAGCACACAGCATACTCATGCCTCTTCCAGCATAGTAGCATAGCAGGGAAGAACAAGCAACCAAAACATTCTCCAGTGTTCTCCTCCTGGACAGCTACACATCTACAGCAACATAAAACCACAATTTTTGTATCTTCCCCATGAACACAAGTCTCTCTTTTTTGTCATAGATGTTCTCTCTTTCTACGACTTTAGAAACTGGAGAAATAATATTTATCTTTATACAGTACTTCATCCTCTCTATCTCTATGCTTAAGAGTGAGGGTCAAAACTAGACTATCAAACATGAAGCCACACAGTGGACTCCTTTCTGGAGCAGAGAATTTGGCTGTAAGACCTGACAGTGCCAGTACTTTGATTTTGACTAGTGGACCAAAGTCTCAGGCACCTCTTAAAAATATTAATTCCACTGCTGACCCTATGATGCTTTCATCCATGTATCACAGGCAGCCCATAGAAGTGACTTTGTCACAAGCCTCTGAAACCTCTAACATTCCACTCAAGGGTACAGACATCAGGTATACATGTGAATACACACCAGAACACCATATGATGCTTCTTAATTGCATTATCCAGATAGCATACACTGCAAAACCCACTTTGCTTTAAAGTCGACATAAATTCTGAAGCTCTTTAGGATTTCTCTTACTATGAAGGTTTTGGTCAATGCAACAATTTATGCTATCTCTCAGGAGTGAACACCCCTTCAATATACTTGGCTCCCAGTCTCCAATTCAGAAGTCCATGTCTGGGAGTCAAATGCTGCTGACTCCATGCCACTTCTCCATTTGGAAGGAATTCCAGCTGACAAACCACAACCAGATCATGCCAGTCCTATTACCCTCCCAGTGCTTTGCAGTTGGACCTCAGAATTCATTTTATGCCTGCTTCTCTCATTAATAGAAATACAATCTTCCAACACACTCAGGGACACATAGCCAGAGATACTTTTGAGAAACACACTTGCAGTTCAGTCACTTCAGGCTTAAAAGCACCCAGAAACACAATGCCAAAGGCAGAGAAGTTTAATCTGTTGCTTTAAAATTACTTGGAAGAATCCTCCCATTACGCTTTGAGAACTCCCACGCTAACAATCTCTAAAGAAATGCACAGAAACCAAAGGTAATTTATTTACAATGTTAAATTTTAAGTCCTCCTAGTTTATAATACTCAAAAGTATAAACAGAAAAAGCAGAAACAGAGCAGGTAATGACAGTTAGAAACATTCCTCCAGAAGGTAAATATGTGCACCTGGTTATCAACGGCGACTTGACAGTTTACTATGTACACTAAATGTAGCCTAACAGGCATTACTACACTCATCTCGCCTATGAGGTAGGTTTACTGTTCAAGGAAGTAAATACACATGCACAATATTTTTGTATGTATGGGTACTCCTAGATGTAAGGCAGAAATACCAGCAACCACTAACAGTCCTACTGCTTGAAAGCATGTTGAGGGTTGACAAAGAGGACAGTACACTCCCATGTTATAGGTACACACAGGAAGCTCCTCTAAGCCTCCTCTACCACTTAAAACCTTCATTACTAAGGGCAGAATTATTGGACCAGAAGCCCGTTATAGTGCTCTTCATCCTAATGCTACCACTCAAGTGTCAAGCACTGGTTCTGTAGCAACAAAGTTGTTTCAGCCTGTCAGGCCTGAAACAACATGGATGGTCTGACCCAGACACCATAACCACAACTCATGGCATTTGATAGACTCAGTGAAGAGCTACAGTCTGATGGCCCAGCTGTGTCAGACTTGAGTCTCTCGGTGCTGTAACAAAACTGCTCTGAAGCAATATGCAGATAACTTGCATTTATGCTGCTATTTTCCTTTATGTGTTTTTTGTTTTGGATTTGTTTCCTTCTTTTTCCCCCCATCTGTGGATACAGGAAAGATCCCAGTGGTAATACAGCACTCCTAATTATCCAATCCTGAATTATTATTAAGTAAGAATTATTATCTAGATTGGAAAAAATCCATTCAAATGGGTACCCTTTAAACTTTCATACACATTTATTTTCCATAATTAGTGCACATCTATTACACAAATCCTCTATAGTACTATACATAGACTTAATCCTACTACCCTGTATATCCCAAGAGAAAAATAATTACAGAAAACGCTTCATAATAAAATCATTAAGCCTAAATCTAGGGGATCTCAGCCAGTGGGTGTGTTCACCAGGTTGTTCCAAACCGCAGCGATTTCAGCGCGCTGACCGCGCACGCTTCGATGGGATTTGATTCGGGCCTCTGCACAGAAGGGCTGCATTCCCAAACTTTCCACAGGTCGCCCACCCGGGCCTCCTGACCACGGCCACCGCGCTCACAGGAGCCTGCCCAGCCCCGGCAGTTCGCACGCCCCGCAGGCACAATTCTGCGAACACCTCTGCGCACACGGCCGTGCTCACATCCTTCACCCCCCGCCAGCCGCGCTCCACCCGGCCAAGTCTCCGCTCCCAGTGCTCAAACTCCTCCAGACGCCGGTGGCTCCCCACGCCCCCCGCCCGCTTTTAGCCAGCTGCCCCCGCCGCCCGCTCCGCCTGGGACTCGCTGAGGGCCGGCCCGGCGCCCGAGTCCCGCGCAGCCTGCCGCCGCCGGCCCCAGGCCGCCCCCAGGCTCCCGGCCGGCCCCGCGCCCCGGCCCGGGCCCTCAGCCGCCGCCGCCCGCTCCCTCCCGGGACGCACCTTAAGGCTCCCCCGGAGGGGGCCCTTGCCGTGGCCGGCCAGCGCGGGGGGGGCGCTCCCCAGGCCGCCCTCCTCCTCCTCCTCTTCCTCCTCCACCTCAACCACCACGTCCTCGTCTTCGTCCTCTTCTTCCAGCGCCGCAGCGGAGCCTTCCCGCCGGGGCGGCCTCCAGGCGCTCTCGGGTTTGGGGGGCCGGACCGCGTCCACCTGCGGCGCCGCCGCGCTCAGCCGCCGGCTGCCCATGCTGGAGCGCTTGGCCAAGCGCCGTGCCTGCATGGTGCCTCCGCCCGGCCGGCCCGGCCCGGCCGCCTCCCGCCGCGCTCAGCCGCGGCCGCGGGCAGCGGCCCCGCCGAGGTGCCCAAGGGGCGGCGGCGGCGCTCACCGGGGGGCGGCGGTGGGTGTGTGCGGCGGGCGCGCCGCGGCCATGGGGGCCCGCGACCGCGGCCAGGCGGGCCCGCAGCCGGCGTGGCCGGCCCGCCGCTCGCCCACCTGCTCCGGTGCGCTCCTTCTCCGCCGGCTGCCCGCCCGGCCCGGCCCGGCCCGGCTGTCGGGCGCAGCGCGCGGTCCCCTCCCGCTCGCCCTTCCTCGCCGCCGCCGGTCCCCGGCGCCAAAACCCGGACTGGATTCCCTCCGGCCGCGGCTCCGCCAGGCGCGGGGCGCTGGGGCCGCGCTGGCTTCGCCGGGAGCCGCGGGCGGATTTCGCTGCCGGGCGGGCCGGCCCCCGCCGCCCACCCGCCGCGCCCGGCCGCCCTGCCGGGGCAGCGGCGCGGCCCGCCCGGGCCGTGCTCGCACGGCAGGAGGGCCAGGGGCGCCCGGCAGCACATTGCGGGGCTGCAGCGTGTCCAGAGAAGCGCAACAAAGCTGGAGAAGGGTCTGGAGCACAAGTCCTGTGCGGAGGCGCTGAGGGAGCTGGAGTTGTTTAGCCTGGAGAAAAGGAGGCTCAGGAGGGACCTTAGTGTTCTCTACAAGTCCCTGGCAGGAGGTAGTAGCCGGGTAGAGGATGGCTTTCTCTCTCAGATAAGCAGTGACAGGATGAGAGGATAAAGTCTTAAGCTACGCCAGGGGAGGTTTGGGTTGGACATCGGGAGGAATTCCTTCATTGAAAGGGTGTTTAGACAAGGGACTGAGGCGCCCAGGGGATGTGGTGGAGGGAGTCCGTGTCCCTGGAGGTGCTTAAGGAAAGACTGGAAATGGCACTTGATACTGTAATTTAGTTGACACGGTGGTGTTCAGTCATAAATCGGATTCGATGATCTCAGAGGTCTTTTCCAACCTAATGGATTCTGTGACAACCTCCATCTGCAGGACAGGCTGCCAGATTTCTCAGGCCTCAGTAAAATAAAATTATTTCACCTGTCCCCCCCTGAAAAAGATAAATGGGGGGAAATGGAACTTTTGAAGAAAAAAAAAAAACGAAATGAAGAAATTTGGTTTATTCAAGATCAATAGTTGAAGCAGTGGTATATATGCCCTGTTGAGAAGAAAATTATCTGGGACAGTTAGGGGAATAATTTCTGGTTTAAATTATGTGCTTAAAGTGTTAAAATACCTTCCTGAAAAGCTTTTTTTTTTTAAAAAAAAATTAAATAGTTTCCAAACATTCTGAAGTTACTGTGACCAGCATTTAAATTTGCTACAGGCTTCTATGGCATTCATTAATGCCTCCTGAGACTGAATTATACTTAAGGTTGTCACATGTTTTTCCTAAACTCTTCCTCTATAAGTCCTAAGTCTGTATTTACATGTTATTTTTGAGCAATATATATATTCTTTTCCATCTACAAGTGAATTACAGTCATTCCCTTCTCAGTGCTCAGTACTTTTCTCCCTGCACATTCTGTTCTAGAGACCTGCCAACAGGCCAAATGTACACATATTATCAGCATGGGGCCAAGCTTCAGCCTAGGTTAATTCATCCCTTTCAGAAAGTAATGTGGTTTTTTATTCGGGAATATAGCATACAGCATTTTTTAGGCAAGAAATTATACATAATACAGTACCCCTTCTTAAAGAAATACTGAAGTTACTTTTCATGTCAAACTCTATAAGTTGTTTGGATTCTCTCAACCCAACCCACAAACCAGTGGTTTGCATTCATTATTTCAAGGTTCCCACAGATCTGGCTCAAGATCTGCAACAAAGTTGCTGCCAAATTCTGGCATATCAGGGCTTCCAGCAGCATCAACCCACCCTTCCAAAAGTGTCTTTTCCAGATATTTTGCCTGTGCTCTGACCAGCTGCATTGCAATGTCCGCTCAGCCCATCTCAGTAGAACAGCAGCCAGAACTCCTGATACATGCTGCCACAAGATGTTCTGTCTTTTTTCCTGCCACTGCATGTGTACTTAGCTTCTTGACACCTGGCTGAGTGGATCAGTCATAGTTTTTTGAAGCTGATGTTGCATAAAGGAGAGATCTGTAGGGAAAAAAAACAAACCCAAGAGCAATGCTTTTTTTGGTTTTATTCCTGTGCTGAATGTTCAGATTTAGAGTTTAGATTTGACATATTTAAATTATGCCTAGGTTTTACCTTAAACATGAATTTCAATGATAGTCATAGTTCCTTGTACCTTAAAGGCATGGAAATAGAATCATTCCAATACCTTCTACTCTTCAAATTATTTGAAATGTTTTGTATCATTTGAATACCACCTGAATCTAATTGTGATCTTTCCTAGTAGTCTGTGTTCACAGTTATCTGAATTATAATTGTGTTACTAAGGGTCCCATTCCTATTTGCCACATACTAAGAGACTTCCTTAACTTTTTCAAACTCCTGTATGTTTTAATTGCAGCAAAACAAGAAACAAACTTAGAAACTATATGCAGCAAGTGTGTTATCACTGAATTGGATTTTATGTGCTAGCATGAACAGCACAAATAACAGAATGGAAACCAAAGGATCTCTTGCAGGAAACGGTGGTGATAAAGGATAGCTGGGCTTGTACAGGCACATCTGTTAACTCCCATGACAGCTCACACTTCAGCTTCTCTTTGAACTCCCTAGTCAGCCTTTTTGCCAGGTTTGTTCTGGGACTTGCTGTAAGGTACAGCTAACTTGACACTTCTTGCCCCGAGGCTTGGTGGGTGAATATAAAAGCAGAGCTTGTTAACCAATTATCAGGCTTTTAGTTGTCAGTTTAACATTTGTTTCAATAATTATTTAGCTGGGTTCTCTGGTTTGGGAGCATGGTTGCAGGAGGCAGAGAGGCTCAGGCAGGTTCTCAGGAACACACAGCACATCCCAGGCCTGTCTGCAGGAGCATGCTCCACCCCCAAAATGCTTCCTCTTCTTCACAGGACTCTCTACCAGATCATGGCCCATTAGATCTCAAAGCATAGCAGGACAGCATGTGAGCCCTACAAGAGTTGGTCAGGGTGACAGAGGAAAGTGTAACCAAATTCTGGTGGAGGGAGAGGTGCCAAAATAATTTTGGGATCCAGAAGGAATGACAATCCAGAGTTCACTAGGCTGATGGCCAGGTCAGTCCCAGGAAGGGGTTTAGAGAAGACTGACTTTCCATTAGTAATCTGAGCTGCTAATGTTTTTTACTCCCATTGGGTTATCAAATGCAATGAGAAGCCGGTGTTGACAACTCTACAACAGATTGGCTAAAGATTTCTAGCACTTCTCAGGCAAGCCAGATTGGAGCTGTAGTAGGAATAACTTCTCTCACAATATTTGATACAAACAAAAGATAGAAATGTCTGTTTGCTCCATTTCTTCCAGTCTGCCTGACTTGCAGTATGAATGGAGCTCAAGCTGAACCCTTGCTGTCCTAGTGCTTCCCAGGGGAGCTAAATTATGGAGGAAGTCAGGGAGTCCTACATACAATCTTCTTCTATATCTTTACATTCACAAACAGTTAAGAGTCAAACACAGGTCATAATTCACTATCACACATCAACATTTTTTGCCCAGGACTCAGTCTTAGCACTCTTGGGGTGATCTGCTGACAATTCTGGCCCATAGCCATGGCCTGATATCAATTCTTGTGATATATGGGGTAATACAGTATCACTTAGCTCAACAGAGATATCTCATGATTGTACCACTGCATAATATGCCTCTAATGCAAGTACAGGCTCTGGCTGGAATAAGAGCTGTTTGCATGTCAATGATTTCCAAGCTTATTAAAAGTTAATGTGCATATCCACACTCCCTTTGTGTACACAGCTCGCTAACACAGCAGAAATGTTTCAGATGCATCTTTGCCTGTAACCTTAACAATGAGTTAATACTTCCAAAAATGAAATTTCTCTCTAAAGACATATGAGACAATTCAAATGATAAGTACATATAAGCATCTCTATCTCCTTCTAGAAGTTCCTCTAGAGCAAATGAAGGTGAATTACACTGACAGCTTTTCCGTTCATCTTGAATAATTATTGTCTAACTTCTTTCAGTATACCCACTCGGCAGCCCTTTGCACTAGCCACAGAAAAAAAAATCTGGCTTTCCCTAGCACTGCCTTAACTACTCTGTCCTGATTAACATCAGGTGGAGTTGTCTTATGATACATATTTTTCACAAACATTTCATTTAGTCCATTATTCAGTTAAGTATTCCTCAATTTTTAAATATAATTATTTACTGATCTGTTTGACATTTAGTTCTATTCAGCAGCTGCTACTGTGATCATGACTGCAGGCAAAGCTTGCCTGACATCACATCAAGGGAACAAGTTCCTCTTACTTCAAAAAGCAGAGATTTTTCTGTAATGCTGAAGAAGGCACTACTCTGTAACCTCCCTGCTCGCTTGTCTCAGAACTGCTTCCACCAGGGACCATCACTCAGCAATGCACTTCCAGCAGGGATGAGCACTAGCCACAGTCAATAAGCACTAGTTTGGGTGTGCTTTAGTTTGCCTCATAGGAGCAGGTGGCTACATCACAGCAGGCATTTTATTGGACCACCCTGAATCCTGCCTCAGCTAGCTCTCCTTTTTTTTTTCTTTTTCTTTCTTTTTTCCATGCCTTCAATGAAAGAATACATTTCTTGCTATTTTCTTTAATATCTGAATATTTTTCCCCTTGTCCATGAATGCCAGCTTTTTATCACTAGAGGCAAGATTCCCCCCTGCTCCTGCCTCCTCCCAGACTGATGCTATGCTTCAGCTCTTGCCTTTAAAAAATCTAGCAACAATACAAAACAAAGAAACCCTCCATTTACTGCACATTTAATCACATTTTTTTCAAATATAACCTAATCAAGGAGTCATTCACTTTTCACTTTTTAGTGTGCAACAAATGTATTTGTTTGAGCTCTGGTATTCAAACCAGCATGTGCACTAACTGTGTGTGTGTTCCACTCTCCTTATAATCCCAGGCATTTGAGCCCCTGCCAACTTCTTTATTCGGGGACCTGCCTTCTCCACACTCCCTTTGTAAACTTTGCATTTGTTTTGCTTTCTAGTGATCATTGAAGTTCTCACTCCAGCTGGGAGGACAGCCAGGCACCTTCAAGAACAAGGGAATGATTGACAATATTAGGCAGAAAATTGTCTACCAGATGCTGCTCAAAAGGAGAGGTGGCAACCTTCCGACCTCCTTCTCAGTACGCGAAATCATCACTTCTGTGACACGCCTCTGCCCCACTTGTCAGCTGAGTGGGGAGCACAGGGTCACTTCTGCGCCTGGCTGTTGTGCAGTGAAATGCCACCCTGCAGACAAGGCCGTGCCTTCTGCGTGAAGGAGGTCCCAGTGCCAGCCATGCGTTGGAATGAAGTGGAAAATTCACCAGATATTGCACATTACTTTTCAGTTACCACCCAGAAATACTGACTGAAACAAAAGGAATTCTAGACAGCCTACCCTCGGATTGCGAGAGGATAAACACGAAGCAGACCTGCATGGCTTTTTAAAAAACCCTCCCCAGTGGTCTTCCTGTTGCCATTAGTATTTTAACACAATTTACAAGTTTATGTTTCTTAGAAGGTTTTGTTCTTCCCCTGAAAAAAAGAGGTCAGCTCGTTGGAGTTTCATGCTGGTGCTAATACAATGACTATGGTTCCCCTTTTTACAAATTAACATTAAAGGAATGAACTTGAAAAAAGTAAGACTAACATTTTCCTACTTAATTAGCTGACTGAACATGAAAAAGAAAGCAAGCAGAAAGAGAAAACACTTCTTCTGAATAAATGTATTGGAGGACCAAAAAACCCAAAGGGTCTGCTCTAAGGGCAAACACACAGGACACACAGGCCTCTGAAAGGCAAATGTTCGAGCACAAAACAGAAACAACCATATATACATAGTTGTGGTTTTCTTACATTGAGAGATGCATGCACACATAAAGCTATTTGAGGGAGTTTCTATGTTGTTTGTGCTCATGCATGCAGGGTAACAGCAATGTGTGTGAATAACAATCCTTGAAACGATACCAGAATTAAAGGAAGGATACAGGAAATGAAAGATGATAATTGAAATGCTATTTTAAGCAAATATATTCATTAATTGTCTTAATTCAGGTGGAACTTCCCCTGCAAATTAGCATGTCAACATCCTCTTTCTCAGTGAAGTGTCAAAGAACTCAGATTGATTCTGAAAGTCAAAACTGAATTTGCAGAGATAGCAATTACAAAGAAAATAACTAGCTTTTCCTTTCAAAATGAACAAATTAGATCAGGCACTCAGAAAAACATAAATATTACAGGACCCATAAAACTTATTTCAGACTCTCTCTTTACATGGAAACTCTTGTATAAATCTTGTGGAAGCAAGAAAAAAAAGACTACATAACTCCAAGTCAACACCAGCAATAAAACTATTTACACCAATGAATTAGGCAATGGGTACAATTTTATCATCTTGCTACCTATCATAAGATAGTATAGTTTTATTTCCATAAATTCTTTAGCTTAGAGATGAACACTTTCCTTTGAAAAAAGGCACTCCACATTTTTTTACTTGCATACCACACTGACAAGGCTCCAAGTAAACACCACTAACCAAAATTTAAGGGAAACACCAAATAGCCAGGTAACTTCAGGATCACCCACACCTCGAAGATTCCAACATCAATCAGCTGCAAGCTAGCTCACTAACTGAAGGGGTAGGAGACATTTTCTGTGTTGAACATGTTCCTGTTTTCTAGTGAGTGCAGTGGTTCAAAAGGCTAATTTTTGGTGCTGGCGGGTTTTTTTTTGTCGAGTTTGGTTGAAAAAAAAAAATGGAAGTTACTCTGGAGTAACTCCTCAGTCATCTCCTTGGGAGTGTCCAGAAATACGGACAGTTGTGGTGGCCCTTTTTCCCCCGCCGAAAGGCTGAAGGAGACCACACCAGATTGTTCCGCTCTATTCGTCCGTCCTCCTTCGGGATCAAGCCGACCCGTTCTGCATGTGGAAACACGGCCGACCTCTTCCTGCCTCTCCCACCCTGCTCTCTCCATGAAGAAAAATCCCGAGTAAACAACACGAGTCACACAGCTCGGAGCTGGACACCACCGGGGCGGTCCCCGCCAGGCCCATGCCCCTCGCCGTCACGCCGCCGGCGGCGGGCCGCTCTCCGCACCGCCCCCGGGCGCTGAGGGCCGGCCGAGCAGCGCAGCCCCCGCTCCATGCTCCCGCCCGCGATCCTGTTCGGCTTTTGCCTCGGATTCCCGCTGCTGCCGCCGGCGGAGCGCGGCGCGTAAACACGCGTGGCGCGGCCGCCCGGCGCTGCGCGGGAGGGGGGCGGCCCCGCCCGGCCTCGGAAGGGGCGGCCCGAGGGCTGGCCCCGGAGGGAAGGGGCCGCGGCCCGGCCGCGGGGCTGGCTGCGGGCGGGCGCTGGTCCCGGCGCCCAGCGACTCCCGCCGGCGGCCGCCCCCGCTCTGCCCTTCTCCGTGCCCCGTGCGCTTCGGGCTCTGCAGTAACCGGGTTATAAATAAACACCGTAAAGCCCCCGCTGCTTACACGTCGGAGGGTTGTGTAAGACTTTGGGCTTCCTTAAAAAAATAGCCAAATAAGGCCATTGTAATCATCCTCTTTGGGGGGAGGGGGGAAGTTCAGAAATTTTCATACAAGAGCTCAGAAATGGGCAAATGTGTAAAATGACTCAGACTTGGCTCTGTCACACCTCATGATTGTTGAGCTAAAATTGCTAACCAGGGACCCTCTGACATGAGCGCAATTGGGACAATTTGAACTCGAGCAGTTACCCGCTTTACGGGCACGATACAAGTGTAAGCGTGTACTACTAAACCCTCAGTGGGATGTGGGTACAATACACATAATGTGAAATGCAGTCAAGGTCGCAGCTAATAGTTGTGGCAAGTTCAATTCAACTGCAGCAACCCCCCTGGGAAACAGGAAAAGGTCTTAAGTTCCATCTACTAAATCTCACTCATCTCTCTTCCGGGAGATTAGGGCTTTGATTTTGTTTTCAAAGGGAAGATGTTGTAAAACCAAAACTGAATTTTTAAGTGGTGGTATTTTATTTTTTTGTTGTTTAGGATTTTTTTTGTAGTTTGGTTTTTTTTTTTTTTTATGATTATCTTTTCAACTGTAATGTTTTGGCTTGACTTTCTAAGTCTTGAATTCATTTTTTAGGTTTCCAAATTGTTGGGCTTTGTTTAGAAACATTTCAGGCTCTTCTGTTCTGCTGGCTTCCTTTGGTAGAGGTATGTTGTATTTTAATCTATTATTTATGTAAGCAAAAAGAAAACCTTGCGGGTACTAGTCTGTTACTAAGTACAAAGGGTTCAAGTGTTTATAGAACAAACTTATTTGTGTATAATTTTTTTTTCATTTGAATGAACTGTCAAGTCAGGCTTCATTGTGGGAGGAGTGGAGCAGCAGGAAGGAGCAGAGCAGAGGGAGAAGTCAGCAGGTGTCTTCCTGAAGGCTTTTTGTGTTGTTTGTATTGAAGATATTTGGCCACAAGGTGCTAACACAATGCACAAGTTTGGTGTAGATGGCAAGATAAAGAGTTTCATTTGAGCTAAAGCTAATGAAGCATCTACTGCCTTGTCTTGAGTTAGTAATTTGGAACATGTTACTTGGATAAACACAAAAGTGGAAAACAAAGGCAGAGTGAAGCAGCTCAGGGAAACATAACAAGGAAAAGAAGGAATAGGAATGGCAGAGGATGGTTCTAGTCACAGGGGAAGGACAGCAGAAGAAGACTGGAAGGGCAGGGGAATCAAGTAGTAGGAATGGGAGGCTAGGCCCAAGGCGGTGAATAATAGCAGAGCTGTGTATAAAGCCAAGAATTTTGTTTCTAATACTTATTTCCTCACAATTTCTCCTTGAACACAACTCTTTGTGGACAGCTTACTATGACAGAGAAGAAGAGGACTAGACACCCTTGTAAAAGAGGCTTGGGATAATTACACATAACACAGGTAAGTGTACTGAAGATACCTGATACAGCTGTTAAAGTTTGGATCATTTTCCTTTTGTGTCTACATTGCTCTTTGTGCTGCTCAGTTCAGCTGTCTGCAAAACCCAAACTTAAGGATACTTGGGACCTAGATTACCTAATTACCATTACTTGACCATTTTGGTCAAGTTTGAATAGAATAACAACACTGATTTTTGAGGAGAATGAATCTCTTCTGCCGCAGAGCATTAGGTGAACAGCCTGATACATGAATTATTATTTCAAATGTTTTAATGTTAGTAACTAAAATGTAGCATAGTTCTTTCAAAAAGGAGATTAGTTAACTGCACAACCTTGCTAGTTATCTACAAGTAGATTACAGAGAATGATACTCCTTTGCACATGCATTTTGCAAATGTTCTCCTCAGTTGTACCCTTTATTTTGCAAATTGCAGACATTGAGATGAAGGGTCTATAATTTCCTAGCTTGCCTTTCTCTTGGAACACTGGTGCTGCACTGGCACGCATCCACTTTGCTGTGACTTCATTTGAATACAGCAAATTCTTTATTATGATGAACAAAGAGTTGCTCTCTGGTCTGCTTTGAATCTCAGTCTGCTCATGGAGATTAGTGGGTTTTGAGCAATGCCAAGTCACTAAATATCTCTGCTTCACTGATCTCAAAGACATTTGTGACAATGGATTTAGTAGTCATTTTCATGCATGTTCTTGCCTTTGAATGGATAATACCGTAGTAGTTCTGCTTCCCATTGCTATTAGATTCTCCATTTCACTCAAAAGGGTTTAAATTCAAAACTTCTCTTTACTCATATGTTGTTGCTTTAAGATACATAAACACATTTGTTTGTAGTTTTAATCCTTGAATACAGCGCTCCTTCACCTCTTTGCTTTTATTTGCAATTTGGGGTTTATTGTCATTTATGTTACTAAGAAATACCTTGTGGCTAAACAATGTTTTATATTGATGTTTGTCATATTGCTTCTGTCAATGCATTAGACAAAACCTTGTATAATAAAGCAGGATCCAGAAATGACAAATCAAAACTCTTCTCAAAGACTGTTAGTCAGCTTTTTTGTCTTTCCTGAAAATTTCTTAAGACAAGGAGTATTACTTTATCTTGATATACGAGACAGAAAGCGATAAACCTTTAAAAAACAGTGGGTTAAATTTTCCAGAAGTGGACAGATTCCACAAGCCTTGTGTTGCTGCCAGATCAAGCAGTTCTCTTTTAGTTATTTCAGGAAAACAGCAATTAATCTCCAAAGTTAGGCTTGGTTTCAGAAAATGGATGAGCACAGTAAATTCCTTATTAAACTAAAGAAATTTACTAAGCCAACTTCCTTAAAAGAGTAAAAGCAAAAGTGTTCAGAGCTTGTTAATAGAAAATTCAGATCGACAAACAGACATAAAATAGGTAAGAGAAGTATTAAGAAAGGCTGAAAAAAACCTAAATAGACCTATCTTGGTGGTAGTTTGTCTACAAAGAATTTGCTCCTGCTTCAGGATTTGGTTGTTGAATGCCCAATCTATGCATATCAAAGGATATAATTTATTCATAGTATTTCAGAAACTTTTTCTATGTGAATCTTTGAAGATTCACCTAGAACATGAAAGTACAGGGCCTTTGCTTCTGTACATAACACAGTCTGACATCAGCAACACAAAACCAAAGTGGGTGGCATAAAAAGCTTTCAAGAAAGTTGTGTCAGTGCTGTGCTACACTCCAGCAATAAGCCACAAAGATTGTGTTTAGGGGGAGCAGCCTGCCTGAAAGAATTGCTGTCACTTCTCTTGCTCCAATCAGCCTGAGCTGTGAATCCCTGATCACTTCCACCTGCTGTTTATGATGTTGGTCACGAAAGATACCTGGCCTCAGGCTATTAAATCTAGGGCAAGGTTTCACTAAGGGTGGTGTCCAAACTGCCACCCAGCAATATGAAGTCACTCTGCATCATTACTTGGATCATTACAGGGATGTAGTAAATCTTTCTTGGTGGGATTTGTATCATTATAAAGTGTTAAAAAACTGACCTGTGGTTTTGTACTCAAATAGACATTTTGCTGCAGTGTGACCCTGGTCTTTTCATCTCAGGTAGCCATCTCCAGCTCTTTTTTACCAGACCCAGGGGTTCCACATGCCTGTTTTCAGCTGTGCTCCACAGGGATCCCATCACCTTTGCAGATTTAGTTAAAACATCTTCCAGCTGTCAGCATTTCCATTCTGGGTAAAAAAGCACAGCCCTCTAATCCTTGAGTTCCAGCCACCTTTATTCCAGTGCTCTGACCTGGCCTGAAGATGCCAGCAATGGAAAAAAATATTATTGTTTTGCTATGTTTCTTTCCTCAAAGCAAAATTATAAGCCAGAAGTTTTGCACATAGACATGTACCAGCAGACATTGGGCCTGTAGAATTTTTTCCATCGATCAAATTAAATTCCATTCATAGTTACAATCAGGGAAGCAGCTTCCAATGCATGCACAAAATATTTGCTAGATAATGAAGAATTTTAAAACCTGTCCATGAAGCTCTGTAATACTAGATGAAGCCAGAAGGATTGTTACTGTATCTGCCCAAAATTTCCACTGCTGAAAAGAGCAAGATGATTGAATGAAAGACAAGATTTTCCAGTTTGCCTGTCAGCAATTATGAGGAACAGGAGATAATGAGGAAAAACAAATGGCATTAATTTCAACCAGAGTGGAAAAAAAAAAACCAAACCACTAGTGCATGGTTCATCATAGGGCTAATACTCTATAATGATTGATGATTCTGTAATCAGAGCCCACACAGAGAGAAACAGGCTGTAAATTAAATGGTGTATTTCACAAATGGTTTGGAATTGTAATGCGATGATGAAGAATTTGCAGAGAAGGACTTTATGCCCCTCTATAACAAGCTGCAGTGCTTCTAACAGAAATAATTAAGGTTCTGACAATGTATTTGTTTGAATGAAGAATTTAGTTTGACAATAAAAAATAGCCTGTAATCTGCATGTCACATGCAGCTTTCTACTGACACGGAGCCTCATGGTCTAGTGCACCAGCATTCACAGCAAATTAGTCTCAGTTTTACTGTATTGCTTAACCACACCAAGTGATACCTAGAGAAATAAAGTTGTTTTACCAGGTCACTGCTGATTGAATAGTTCTTACAATTGAAAAATAATAGAATGATTCAGTGCTTAAAAATAGACAAAATAAGTCTTAAAATATGTCTCACTATGGTTTGAACTTTCTTTTTAATACTTAGTAGTAAGGAAAAAGGAAAAGGAGGAGGAATCAATTTCTCTTTCACTTTTGAAATCCCCAGTTCGGCAGGCCACTGGCTTCCTCAAGCAATTCACTGCAATTCCTTCCTGGAAGGCTTCCTCCTCTCCAGAAGGAAAGCACCCCTCTTAGCTTTCCATAGAAGAGGAAAATTGCATATTGAAAATAAGTTCCAGTGCTCATTTGGGGAGATGAGCAGCATTCTGGTTAGGAAACTGGACTAACATGAGAAAACATGCACTGAAAACTCCAAAACAAAACAACTCTTATTTTGGTTAAACTCATCTATATCCAGCACATGGGCTCATACATGCAGCACACACAATGCCTCTGACATCTCTAGGAACCACAGGATCTGTTGCAGCCTTTCAGAAAATTTGAGTAATCCATAAAGTTTTGGATGTATCTTGCCCGTGTTCCACATCACATAGGCACATGGTCTATTTCGGGAATCCCATTGGCAGCAGCCCTGATTGTTTCTAATGTTAGGTGTCACAGTGCAGGTGACCTCTTTCTTAAGGCCGTCTAAGATACTCTACAACTGCCTCTTCTCAGAGGTCCTGAACACAGCTTTTCAGCAGCTCATCAGAAAACTCAACGGTGTTATTAACCCTGTCTTAAGCAACTGATAAATAGAAAGAGATCTTCTGTAATGGCTTGTGTGATCATGCAGTCTAACAAAACACCATTTCTGAGTTCCTTAACCATCTTGGGGGCCAGCCTAATTGTTTCCAATCCAGAGGAAGGTAATTCCAGCAATGACTACATCTGAGCATTCAGAAACTGCTCACAGAGAAGTCTGATTCTGCTCAGGCTGGGCAGTCCTTATCAGTGGCATCCATACTAGTGAGAAATTTATAAGCCTTGTTAATACCTTCTTTTTTCTTTGTTTTAATAATGATTTGTAACAAATTTCCTAGCTTTTAAATATGTAACAGAGTTCTTGTCCGCTTGTGGTGGTGCATTTGAGTCAGGTTTTTCACTGACACTGGGAAGGTGTGCGTTAGCATGTGGAGGAGATGAGACACCCATTCACAAGAGCTGTTTTTCTTGGCTAACTTTTACACCAGCCTGCTTATGACAAGAAATGAAAATGTGTCTGCACCATAGCTATCAGCCAGGATTTCAGTGGCTGTCCCCAGGTGTGCAGGAATGAGCATGTGACAATTGTGAAAAGAGGCACAGCACAGGGTGACACAAGCTCTTGTCTGTTGGCCTCTGAGGAGGTAATTTTGATCACGGAGCTAGTAAGGAGAATTTGCAATATAACTGTATGATTCAGTGCTTTATTCAATATTTTGTGCTAAGTTTTTCTCTTGAGTCTCCCTTGTGTTATGCATATAAACTTGCATGCACATGCCAAAGTGTCTGATGCATGTTTGTGATGGATGACGTGGCTGGGGGGATGCTTTGCTGTAGCCATTTACCAAGCCGCCTTTGAGGGGGAGTACACTGACAATAAGAGCACTCCCCATTGCTTCCCTTTTTGCTTGTTTCTCCACAGTAGCATCATCACAGTAAGATGTTGTATTGCTTAACCCATTCCTACAAAAGTTTAATAAGAGTCAAAAAAACATTGGTTTTGTCCCATGACCATGTGGCCCTCCCAGGTGTGCATCAAGTACGGGAGATAGACCTTTTCTGTAGAACATGAGGATATAATGGTTCAAAGTGCTTCTATCCCCTGTTAGCTCCCAGATGTGGTCAGCCACATGTGGTTGCCCCAGAAAAACAGTTTCCAGGTACTGCACCAAAACAGTGTCCTTCCAGTGTTAAAATCAGTGGTCTCAGGCACGTTGGTAGCAACAACAGCTGTGACTAAAGTGAGCTTAGCAGACCCAAAATGAAATCTGGGCAGCCGCCAAAGCCTACCCAAAACCATGGAAATTAGAGAAATATTTTCAGTTCCAAATTTGCACAAGTGAAACAATGCTTTAAAATTTAATCCAAGGAGGTACCTACTGTGCTTTTGACTTCTCATGAGTGTTTAATGCTCTCATGACAGTTTTAGGGCTAGAGACAAATTTGAGGGGTGTTGAGCCAACACTTTTCACACATATTTCATTTATTTACACTGCAGCTTGTTTTGTACATTGCCTACAAAATTATGCTTCATAGAAGAAAAGCCTGGCAACACCAGCAAAATTGTTGTAAACAACCAGAGTGAATGCTCCAGCCTGTGTACAATAGACATGTTAGAACTCAAAATAGCATCAGAGGAAAAAAAAACCTCCCTTAACAAACAATAAGAACATTGTTTGTTTTTAAGAAACACTGAGCTTTGTTTTCAGTTTCTAGATTAAGCCTAATTGCCAAAAATGCCTTTGTTACTGCCTAAACCAAACTCAAGTTGGGAAGCATAGTCAATAATTATTTCAATTAAGAATGTACCATCAAAAACCTAAGGGTGGGAATGCAAGAGGTGAACAGTTGTTCAAAATTAAGAGCCTCTTTGTCTTCCTATCCTTCACCTCGTTTTTTCCCCTGAGGTATAGAAATTACAGCTTTAATGAACAGCAATAGAAACTGAGTTTCTGAGAAAAACGAAGTTCAAAATGGAGAGCTTTTGGCAGCAGTCTCTCTCCCCCTCTCTTTGAGATCCTTAACACATGCCAGATTTTTTCTCTTAATGCTTGCCAGGACTATTGAATGATGCAGTCACTGTTTTGAACTTAAAACCTCCCGGAACTCGGAGACATCTGTATGGAGGGTGCTTGCTGCCCTGCATATCAGCCAGAACCCAAGACTGAAATTCAGCTTTGCAGTCTTAGAAATGAAAATTATCCCAACTGCATTCTGTGTCCCATCATTTCTCTTCCCCTTCTGACTCTTCCACTCCATCAGACAAACAATAGTATTTCTTGTACCCTGCAGTATCCACCTTTTCCCATTAGGAACAGAATGCTTGGCAGTCTTCCTGGATACCCGTGCTGATCCAAAATTGTCTCTGGGACACATGCCTTCTTTTGTGGTCACTGGACTGAGGGCTACATCCCTTGCAGAACAAATATTACACAGTAAAATGAGCAGGAACAGAAGTTCACTAGTGGCTGTTCCTACAAGTGGATGCATGCTAGTGGCTGTTCCTACAAGTGGATGCATGTTGTATAAACAGTAAATATGCTCAAGCTATCCAAGCCCATGGATTCTGGGGATTGCCTCTCTTCACATCCTTTTGCTACTGAATCTGTTTATCAGAGACAGAAATCAGCTAGGGAATTAGGCAACTTAATGGCAAGTTTTTTATTTCTGCCCTAACCACAAGTACAATTCATAAATTAAACAGCCCTGAGAAAAGCTAGGAGGGACCCCCAAAACCTGCATGCAAGGAGGGAGAGCATTTGAAGTTCTGGACCCTGTGGAGACCATTGATGGATTCAGAGCTAATTATGCAAAGGGCTTGCAGCTTTCTAGGAAAAAGAGAACATTTTCTGTATGGTGAGGAAAAGCAAACATGCAAGAGCACTTACTTGATAGGCCTTTGGTGTCAAATTCACAAGCTGGGTGTAGTAACATGGCAGATGTTGGCAAAGTCTGTCAGATGAAAATTCCTGTATTTTTTTCGCCTACCTTAGACTATCTCTGAGTCTGTGCAGAATAAGTAGCAAGAACCCCTTGTGATATGATAGCATTCTCATTCTTCTCCTTTGTTGCAAATGTACTTTACAGAAGAATAAATGAATTTGCTTAATCATTAATTAACTACACTTCGAATGGCACTGTGTGGCTGTCAGTGCTGCAACTTTCTTCTTCCTGCAGTATGAAAATTGCATGTACATCACTGGAGACAAATCCCTCCAGATGCAGTTTCTGTTGATATTTCTGAAATACCAAAAGGAAATCTGGGCATCAGTGTTATCCATGAGAGATATCCTGGCCTGACCAGATATTAATCTTAAATGAGTTCAGGCACTCCTCTAAATCAGTACTGAATGCAGCCTAAAGTGCACCCAGCACTTAACATTTCCCACCATACTGTAATGGAGATGACAAGTGCTTTAAAGCGTTGGATTTATGCAGATTTGCTAGGAGGGCAATGGTGCACAAATAGAAATGTGTTTAACTGAAAGGACATGTGCTCCCCATACGGATGTGGTCATGGTTGCTTAGGCTCTGAACGAGTTCACACTGCACTTCTCCAGAAGAGAATATGTGCTAAGTATTTCTTCGGGCTAATTTTTCCATGCTACAAATAGTAGTTGTCATCATCTCACCCAACACACAGGTTTCAAGACACAAGCTGTCAGAACATACTGGAATGTTTGGTGTCTGTGAAAGATGACTGCCAGGAAGTACCTGCCTATCCTACACTGGGTGAGCAAACCCTTAATATCATCTCTGTGTTCATCAATGACTACCTCAAGCAGTTTGTTCTCAGTACATTGCCTGTTGGAGACTCCTTTGAAGTTACCTAACTCCCTTAGTGCTGCAGGGGACCAAAACACTCAGCTCTTACTTTGTGGTAACCATCTAGGGGCTGTAATAGCCTGACAAGTATCCTACATACATGTTGAAGTGTTTGGGGTTTTTTTTTTGAAAGCAAACAGAAAGTTGCTCAGCTTGGGTTCAAAAAGGAATAATTTGTATTTTGAAGGGGTCTTTTTCAATTAACCTAAAATTACTTAATTTATTGAGAACGTTCCTGTACAGCCACCCCAGGCACCAAGATAGTAATTCTGGTTTTAATTTTGTCATATGTGTGGCTGAAAGGGGCAGGATAACCCCACAGGCCTTTGTGAAGGGGTTCCTCTTGCTATAGCACCTCATGGTGGTGTTGCCTCCAGCTCACACATTTCCAGTGGGAGAGTTCTCTCTTTCAAACTCTCTTGTTCTGTGAACCACACAACTGACCACAAACAACCTGAAATCTTTCTGTCTTGCGTTTCCAGCCAGTTTTCACTCTAGGCCATTGCTTGGACAATTCCAAGTGGAAAGGTGCATGAGAAGAGCTTTGATAAGGGAATTAATGTGATTTCAAACCTGTGATACTTTTTCTTTTCCTCTCCCCTTGATACCCATGCATACACATAGCTAAAGAAATACACGCACCTATTTATCTCCCTTTTGTGGGGAAATTACCTAGGTTGTGGCCAAACCGCAGTGCTGGTGCAGAGACATACAAGCTCCATGGAGAACCACAAGCTCCATGGTTCTGTGCAGGTTCTTTAGCTGAGGCTTGGAGATGGACCTGCCAGGACCAAGGCTGGAGCTGTGCTGAGGCAGCTTAGGGCATGTTATCCCATGTGCCAGAGCTGACTGTATATTCTAGTAACACGAAGAAGCAGGCTGTGCCTGGGCTAGGAGGCTTGCCAGACACCACACATATTGGAGGACACTGTATTTGAACCCAGGAGCTGCAGCCACAGACCTAGTGGGAATATGGGTGCCATGGAAAAAAAAGGAATATGGGTGCCATGGAAAAAACTAATCTCACTTTTTAGAGTATCATAAAAAACCTCATACAATGAACAACAGAGAATGGACTTTACTCCCACTCATCTCTTTGCACTCATCTGCTCAATGGGTATTTTAGCTGAAAATTATAAAGGATGGGATCCTTGTCATTTTATATTTCCACTTATCAGTCTTTATACTTTAACTGCAGACATGTCACAGACAAGTGGCAATCAACATCTTTCAATCATGTACCAAACCTTCAAGTGTTACCTAAGCTGCAAAATCTGGAGGGAAAGAAAACTCAGATTTGCAAATACCTTCCCATACTTCATATAGGTTTGTTCTATTTTTTACGCTTGCAACTACTGAGCAAGTTTCTGTGGGCAAAAACCCCACACCTCATTGAGCAACTAAAGTAATTGCAAATAAGGTCACAATACTACTTTTCCACAAAAATCCTCTTATTTGGTGAATGAGCAGGCTGTATGGGATCTGTTTGGAAGAGTCCAAAGGCTTTGTGGGATCCAAGAAAGCTGATTGATATTTAAGCTTCACCTCCCTCAAGGTCAGCAGGGGTCCATCTTAAGGAGCAGGAAGTCAGGCAAAAATGCCAGGAGGCCTGCATGGATGAACAAGGAGTTTCTGGCAAGATTAGAACACAAAAATGAAGTATATAGAAGGTGAAAGCAGGGACAGGAGACCTGTGAAGGATATAGAGACGCTGTCCAAGCGGGTGAGACACAGAAGCCAAAGACCAACCAGAATTGAATCTGGTGAGAAGTGTCAAAGGCAACAAGAAGGCTTTGTGTAATTGTATCAGTCACAAAAGGAGGACTAGGGAAAATGTAAGCCTGCTGCTGCTGAAGGTGGCAGGGGCCCTGGTGACACAGGACACAGAAAAGGCTGAGGTACTGAATGCCTTCTTCACCTCATTTTCTACTAGGAAAACCTGCCTTCAGCAATCCAAAGACCTGGAGACAGAGGCAAAGTTTAACTCAAGGAACACATAAGTGAAGTGGAAGAGGATCAGGTTACAGAATACTTAAGCAACTGGACATGGACACCAGTGGGATGCATCCAAAAATGCTGAGGATGGCTCATGTCATTGTATTTTGATTATCTTTGGATGATTATGATGACTTGGAGAGGTGCATGAAAACTGGGGGAAAACAAATGTCACTCCTGTCTTCCAAAATGACCTGAAGGTGTACTCAAGGAGCTATCTGTTTTGAAGACAAGCTGCTGATAACTCTCTTCTCCAGTCTGTGACAGCCTCAGCCCTCTAATCTAGAAACAGCACAGTGATGGTTCTGCTGCTGGGTTGCAAGATTCATTACATTACTTGGAGCAGCAGCTGTTTGCTTCCTTCAGAACCCATCCAGATTCATTTTGCCTAGACCCTTTTTTCCCTTTGTACTTTGCTTCTGAAGTAAGCTGCAGGTAAGAAATTAGGAAGACAACTGAATGCTAGTTTGAGTGCCAGCCTTCAAGTATCTGCTGGACAAGGCTTGGCTCTGTGATGGTTGACATGCAGCCTCAGTGCAGCCTTAGAAAGTTCAGGTTCATGTTTATTTTTTGTTTTCACAGGCTCCCATAATTTTCCCAAAAACTAAAGGAAAGGAAAAACCAGTGACTTTTAGGATAATATGACTTATGTAGCTCAGCCAACTCCTTAACAGAATTTTGTGGCATAAAAGAAAACCAGAATGCTACCCTTAGAGTTTTGTCCTTGCCAGATTTTAAGGATTAATTACATAAATGTGGACCACATATGTGGTTTTTGAAATAGGTGACACAAACCTTTTGCATAATAGAAATATTTTGTCAGTCCAAATTAGAGATTGCTACCAGATCTTCTTATTTTTATTTAATCTTGTGGCAAGCTGAAATCTTTAATAATAATAATGATCCTTGTTATTATTATCTTACATTATCCTAATAATCCTTAATTACATTAACTGATAATGGGATTTACATGCCATTTCAGTCACATCAGTAAATATGCAGATCTTGATCACTTTGGTCAATAAGCTCTTTAGCAGGAGCTGTTTCAGAAGAATCTATTGTAGCTCTAATATGCTTTCTAGCACCATGACACACACAGGATCCCTGTTTTCTGCCTGATCTGGCAGTTCTCTGTTCTTGCCTATCAGTCCTTCCACAAAGGCTGCACAGAAATTCCAGTTGTGTGAGTTATACGAAAGGTCAATCTCATTTATGTAATAGCCAACTGAGAAGTAGTGCTGAAGTATCTTGTTAGCTACAGTGCTAGAAAGATCATGTCACCGCAGTTTTGCACCTTTGAAACATCTGTCAGACACATTTTCTACGAAGCAATGTCAAGTCACTCTTTAGCTCCAATGCTTTCTAGTTCAACATAATGCTATGCTCCATGAACACAGGATGAACTGGGAGTCTTTGAGTGAATATGTACCAAATTAAAAGTCAATTGTCAGCCACACTTCACAGCGTCTAATTCTATTTTAAACACCAGGTGTCACTGCAGTATACTCCTGATTCCACACGGAGCTTCTATCAGGTTAAAGCTTTACTTTTAAGTGATAGCAAAACTCATGGAGAACAAAGATGCTTGTACTTTCTGTTCTCAAGTGTGTCCATGCAGCTATATGATTAGCTAGAATCTGGGAAAATTGTTCAATATTTCAACGAGCCACATTTGTAGTTCTGTGTGGTTGGCCTCAAACATGAAGCTAACCATAGTAATAGAGCAATTTTATGGCTGAGAGCAACTGTTCAGAATGAAGAATCAAAAAAAAATGTGAAACAGTTCTCTTGATAATAATGCTGCATGCATTTTTTTTCAGAAGAACAGCCCGTACTGGATAATATTCAACAGTTACTTAATGCAAAATTTATATCAACTTGCATATTTTGCAGCTTCTTGGCCCATGAACAATTGTTCAGGAAAAACAATCTTCTTCTACACTTATCGAATCCTGAATGATTTTGCACATGAAATATTCCTTATTTTTACTGATTCTCTTTTTGATCTATAACCTTGTATCTTTTGAGTATTAAAATATACTTACCCAGATTAAACATTAAAAAGCCATCACATTGACAATGAACAGATACTATTAGTCTAATTTCTTCAGTCTCCTAGCTTGGTGTAACTAATCCCTGTCTGCACTGTAAATTTTCCAGAAACCTGTTCATCAGTAACTTCTTAGTATTAAGTGGGCAAACCTGTCCTTTTCCTATCTTTAATTAAATATAATGAAGAGAAAGGTGCAAGTTATGGAGAGTGCAAGCCCCAAAACGTTAGGTACTATTTTAGCCTAATGCTCTAGTGTACAAAGGAGCCTTGTTCCAGTGACATGCTTAAAACATATTTCTTCTTGTTAGACTTACAAGCAGAATCTGTGTTACATATTCAGCAGTAGCCCTCAGTCACCTGCCTCTGAAATGCTTCAGGATGCTCTTAGAAGTATTTCTACACAAATGAGGCTTGCTACTGACAGAGCAGTGCAGCAGATGGATGGGGAACATTACCTAGAGAGCATCTATAACAAAGGAAAAGGAATCAAATGCCACAGCAAGTTCAGAGGATAATCCACAGGGCTGGTAACTGCAACTTTAAAAATGCTGAAAGCTGCACAACTTTGGAAAGCTCAGACCCAATAGTCTTACCTGCATTGAAGAGCATAGTTCCACTACATTCATGGCAGCCCCTGCTTTAGTCAGAGACAACTTAAAATTGGTGCTGTTGTGTGCATGCTTGAATCTTGACAGGATTGTGGCTTTGTGAGGAGTAAGGTGCTATATATCACAAAGAAGTCTTAGTAGTTCTTGTCAGATAATGAAATCAGCATGAAATTCCCAGAACAAACAGAATTCTATAAATGCAGGTTTTAAGACCTGCAGGATAAAGTGACTGCAAGGTCTGAATAATGTATGTGTTAAGAAAACAACAAAAAGAAGCACAGGTAAAAACCAAGCAACCAAGCAACCAACCAACCACTAAAACAAAAGACAAAACTTATTTATTGTGGTTTATTCTGTCTGGCTATTAAATTTATATATAGATTTTAATCCAATTATTTTTGCCAGGATTTTTGAATTAAATTAATTTCATTGCAATGTAACATGTTTCCCATTTGACATAATTTACATGGATTTCCAATAAATTTGAGTTATTTGCAAATAAAATAACCAGTGAAAATGGCAGACCCTCTTTTAAATGCTTTCAGAGAATACAGTAAAGAATCATATGATTTTTTTTCTGCATATAAACAAGTAAATATTAGGATGCTACTGTACATAAATAAAACCTGAATTTTTTATTACTGATGTATGTTCTTACTTTTAGATAACTGCTTCATATGTTCATGTAACATTTTTCCCTCAGAAATATTTACATAAAACTTTCTACATTTACAGTAAATAACCATAATTGCCTACTGTGCTTTCAGCAGCCAAAAGCTGAATTGGCTATAGAAATATCTGATGAAGATTCTTGGAACAAAGGTATGACTAAATGACATCAACTTGTGTATACTATTGCAAAATATTGAGAGGAATTTAATGGCATTTTTAAATTTACAAAATGCAATTTAGTGTTGGATCTGAACTGCTCTAATGGTAGGATAAGCCCTGCAATTACAGTTAAACTACAATTTATGGAATATACATTCTGCAAAACTACAGTGTTTTGAGTGTTTGCAGTGGTGTTGAAAGAAGTATTTCAATTTCAAACAGGTAGCAAGCCAAACAACCCTTCATGTAGCTAACAAGCCTTAGCTAATGCCATCTCAGAAGTCTGCATGCACTGACTCCATGCATTGTGTTCACGGCACAGTTGTTGAATCACTGAGCTGCTCTCACTGCCCACAGAGCTTCGCTTTGCAGGATATTCAATTATATCCACTCTGCGATAGCCAGGACAGTCCTAAGCTTCTCTTTTCACAAGCTCATACTGTTTTGAGGATTTGTTTTGTTCTGTGTCGGGGATTAGAGACTCAAATAGTTGTCCAGAAAACATTTTTTGTTGCTAGAACACTATGTAAGAGAACTTTGCTCAGAGATATTCCAGGAACACGTATTTTTTCCATTATAAAACAATGGATAAAATAGACAAGTGTCTTTATTTACAAATTCTTATCCACTATGTTCTTATTATGCAATGTTCCAGATGTAAAGCAATTTTATGCTGAAGCTCATATAGCATCCAATTTTAAGTGACTCTTACTGAGGCATGATTTTAATAATTAGCAATTAGACATAATTATCCATATAACTGACTATTTTTTGTTGTTCTCATGAAAGTCATATCAACTAACATAAAAAAAGAAAATACATTTAACTGAAAATACAAACAAAAATCAAAATTACCTAATTTTTAAACCAAACTTCTAAACTCTTAGGGCCCAATCCTGCAGCCTTGGCTTGTGCAAATAATTCTATTGAAATAAAGTACTCCAGTTAGAGTTGGGTTTTTGTTCGTTTGGGTTTTGGTTTTGATTTTTCCTAAAAACCCATATAATTCAAGTCCAGATCTACACATAGAGCTTACAATAGTGCATGTACTATTGTCCATGTGTGGTTTCTAATAGAACAAAAACATGTTTTTAGAATTTATTCATTTCCATTCTGTTGATATGGAGGCTTGATAAAAGATAATCCAGCTGCATCATGGTTGGGTGGTGATGACTTGCTCCTCTCTGTATATAGGGAATACTGAGAAGAATAAAAAATGCTATCCATTTCTTGTGAGACTCTCAGCAACTCCTCCCTTTACTGTAACTTTTTCTACCTTAAAAATCTTTCAAAACAGGTTGTCTGGGGAAGTGCAAATGAAACTTAGCTATTGTTACTTTACCTTTCTTCCTAGCTTCTGCAGTGGGCTGTACCTGTCTTACCCTGACAGTGAATGCTCTTTTGTGAGTCTGGAGGTGGGCTCTTAGCACACTTTCATCCAGAAAGACCAGTCAGGCCGAGGAGAAGCAACTCACATCCCCTTCCTTAAGTTAAAGAGGTTGGGACTGTGAAGCAAAGGGCCATTTTGAAGTAGTCATCACCATTGAGATGAGATGAGGATGAGATGAGATGAGATGAGAATGAGATGAGATGAGATGAGGCCTACTGGCAATCATGAAGGTGGTACATACATGAAGAAACAGAGGAGCCACCACAGTGGCTCATTTCAAAGACCTGTCTGCTGGTAGGATGTTCTGAGGAGACTGGTTATGTGACCTTTCTCAGTCTCAGATACAAAGAGCAAATTCCAGTATCCTTAGAATGTGCGAAAGCAGGTTCTTGTGGTCTTAGATGTCTCTTTAATAACACATTTAAACATTGTGAAAATTAACATCTTATATGTGTCTTTGTATGTCATGTGTGTGCTTGCAAGCTACAGAATTTCTTGCTTGGAAAGATAGTGAAGACCTCCATAGTTGTTCTCCAGACAGGATGTGATTAACCCAAAACATCAGACTTAAGTCCAGGCTTCTAAATCTCACAGGCACATTGAAAATGTCCTATTCAGAAGTGTTAACGTGATGCAGTTTTGTGCCCTCTGTACAACTGTCATATTTCACTAAGGACAAAAGAGATTCTCAGATGGTGACAGATGAACATAGTGGGGAAGAGCAGTTCCATAAATAAGAGGGTAGTCCAAGTCCCACCTATGCTGGAATTTAAAATATGAGTTAAAATTGTTCTTTTCTTAGACATTGCGAATTGAAAACATTAGAACTCTTTTTTTTTTTTTTTTTTTTTTTTTTTTATTTTTTTTTTTTTTTTTNTTTTTTTTTTTTTTTTTTTTTTTTTTTTTTTTTTGTAATAATATTTGTAAGGTTTAAGCCCCCTCCTCAATATAGCAAGATTAAAAGGGTAAGAGTTGGTTATATTGTCTTGTAGTGAACAGGAGGCATTCTGAAATCTCAAATGAAGCATTCTGAAGTCAAGTGATACTTACATACCTTATAAATAATCTAAGCTGATTGTTGCATTATCATAAACTATAAGAAATAACATACCTGCTTTCTAAACAAACAAAAAAATGGTATTTTCTCTACAAATACATGCTCGTTAAAATTAGCCAATGAATTTGCAGAGACAAAACCCTTGTCAGACTGTGCTATTATAACCATAAACAAACACCACAAATGAAAGCCAATAGTTAGGAATGTATATGGCAAGAGAGCACCACATACAGTAGTCAAGTGGCTGTGCAATGACAGTGAGCATCTTTACCGTTTCAGAAACATCCATATTTTTAGGCACTTTGCTATCATATTTGTTGTGACTGTCCTTCTGGCCAGTTTAAAACTGAAGGCCTCCAGAAACAAAACCTTGCAGCTTGTAGAAACAGAACTGTAATATTTATATTATCCACAGACTGGGCACAGACAAATGGGTATGTAATGCAAAGATAATCTGTGCATTTCTATGGAAATTGGGGTGGCAGAGCTAAAATGTGTCTACATTTATGTAGACAATCTTGCTGACTTTTGGATTATATATAAATTAAGTTTTATCAATTAATCAATGGGAACCTTGTATTACAAATAAATTGTCATTTTTCTCCTGTTCAGGAGAAAAGAACAGTGCCTACTGTATGTGATATTCTAATGCACTTCTGGAAAATCACCACATAGGTAATTACTTTATTTAATAAATTTTGTAAGCCTGGGATATTTTATGCTGACCAGCCAAGGGGATTGTCTCTTCTTAAAGAAAGGGAACTATTTTTAGCTCTGTGATGTTCCATTTGCAGCATTTAACATAATCCTGAACACATGTTGCTTGCCAGCAAGGGATATATATTATATATATTTTTTCTTTTCTGAGGCTGAGATCTGCTCTGGCAATGGCTTCAGCCACCACCATCCCAGAAGAGATGCTACAAATCAATTTCAGCACCAGGATATGAAATCTTATTAGTAATTATGTTCCCTTCTCCCAGGAAGAGACCTGCCCTTGAAAGTCTTCAGCACACCACCAAAGGAGCATCTGTCCGGCTAAGCATCTTTCTGGACTCTTCTGCTTTGCAGCAGACTACCACACCAAATTATTTTTGAGGCATGTAAAAGCCTTATTCAGGCATATTTCAACCTTATAAAATAAAACTCATCTGAAATAACTGGTTATTTTCCTAAGAGCAAGAGTTCCTCACTGGAATGTGGTCCAAAATAAAATGTTTGATACAGAAACAGATTTCTTACAGTCACGTGGCAAACAAATGTATATGCACAATAGAAGACAAAAATAAAGTCCTTGAGCTGGGCTATGTTGTTTCCAGTCCCACAGTGCACAGATGAGAGTTGGGTCTCTAGCTGCTTCCAAGCCAAGTCACCTGGCCTGAATGGCTGCTTTTAAACACTCTGTCCCAGCCTAGGCAGGGCTGTCACATGTGGTGGCTCCACCCTGGCTGTGGTGAGATGAGCAAGAGACAGGGCAGCACTGTCAGCTTTTGTAGTCAACAGCAGCACAGGTAACGCCAAGTTCTGGAAGCAGACAATGCCAGAGAGAGCATTCTGTGTCACAGCTTTACACATGCAAACCATTTATCCAGCATCTTATAAAAGCACCATTGAAAGGTTGAACTGAGAGCACCGCATGTACAGAATTGTGTTCAAAACAGCGGACAGGAGCTGTTCAGGGAGCCATGGAGAAGCATGCAGCCCCGCAGGATAGATTCCTTGAAGGCACTATAGATGAGGGCTTGGAGAAAAGGCAGCTAGTCATCAGCCAGTTGAAACTATGGGGATGACCCAGTTCTGGGTTACTTATGACAATGAATCCCCACACCTACTCATCCCTCACTCCATGGATCCTGCTACATGTAAGCAAGCCTGCAATTTATATTAATAGAAAGACTGAAGCAACAAATTGTTCACAGTTGACATGAACACCACCTCCCTGAATGCTTGCTATTGTAAAACCTAGGTTTTTCAAAAATAGACTGGTAATTCTTATTGCAAAGCTTAGTCATCATAGCTACATTACCGGGCTTCTTAGTGGATGTGAGTGACTATTTAGTGTTTGTGAATGACTATTGCTATTGTAGGGCTAACTGAGGTTCAGCACATTAAATGTGTCTCTATAAAGATGTTTCCAAGTTGGGACAAGTAAACGTTGGGGTTGTCCCTTTGTACTTTTGAATTAAACACATACAGTATGGAAGAGAATATGGAAGTATTAGCTGCTTAGTAGAAAAGGCACTATAACTGATCTAACTGTGGTAATTAGGTACATGTCCATGCTACAGGTATCTGCAAAGAATTTATTTCTCTCTGTGACTGAGAAAGTTATTCTACACTCATGGTAGAACGGGATGACAGGTTTACATAATGGATTAGCACTGGTTTAGGTGTATGGTAAGAACAGCTCCCATGGAAGACACAGATTAATGAAGAGATGTCTGAACTGCATTTCCTATTTTCTACCAGTTCCCAGAGGGAAATCAAAAAAACCTTTTCACTAGTTCAGTTATATACATATTACAGCTTATGTTGGCCTTACTGTGGCAATTTGATGTGTGATTTTATTGTACAGTTGTGCCAAAAAAAGGAGGCAAAGTTATAGACTATGCAGCTTCCCCAGAAAACATCACCAGGTAACAAATACTTTATTTTGGATGTTGACATTTATTTAGGGATATGGTGAAAGAGTTAAAAAGAGCAGTAAAGAGACAAGTAGAAGAGACTCCATTTTCTTTACAGTCAGATTAATCTCTTTGGGGATTACTGCTGGAAAAAATCTTTCTATCAAATATATTAATGAAAAGAAAGTATTGACAACAGCCATAAGGGAAGAGGTGTTACTTCTGGGAAGAGGGAACTAAACCAGAACCTTGATTCTTTGTCAAGAAATGTAAATAGTCACTTACCAAACTTGGACTGAATTCTAAAACATTTTCCTTTAGCATTAGACTACATGATGGAGATTGCAGGGGAGTTATGGACTCCCCCATACATCCTTGTTCAGGAGGGTAATTCTTTTTTGCAGCTTTTAAGTCCAGTGTGTGTGGATCTCAAGGCTGAGGGCAGGCACACATCCCAAAAGCAGCAATCCAAAATGTGAACTTCTCCATGAGACTGAGGTCTGATGGACCATTAAAAGGTTGTGACCAGTCTGAAAGTCATTTAAACAAGAAAGAATGTGCCACTGCCACAGGTGTGCAGACATGGTACCAGCTCCCAGTGCAAGGCTGTATGAGACAGGGTAAAAACAGAAACCAAAGAAAAAGGAGAGGGGGAGGAAAATTTTTCTTTCATTGTGTAAAAGGGAAGTCTCGGAGGTCCTAGGAGCAGTTGTCAGAACAGAAGAAAGAACAGAAGGACTTGTGTTTCTTCCTACAAAGCAACATTTTTGATCTGGTTAAGAAAGACAACAGAATGACTGGACAGTCCTCCGCCATCCTGTGACCTGCTGGTCTCAATGGGGGTATTTCTTGAGTGATGTTTGATTTTCTTCTTTTGCACCTTAAAATTTACAATCAAGAATTCAGTGCTATTCTTTGCTATCAACTGGCATTGTCTTAAGATATCTTTGAATTGGTCTTGAAATTGAATCTAGTAAGCCTGACAAACCTTGTGTTCCTACTGTTTCTCCAAAAGCAGTCATCCATGTAAAGGGATAACTACATCTTGAGATGTATTTGGGAATTTCAGGAGTTGAGGTATGCCTGCCACTAAGCTGCAGGAGTCAGACTGAGGACTACATATATAAACTGGTACCCCTGAGCAAGGAACAGACAGCAAACACATAGTTAAAGACTAAAGAAATTCTCCAGACTTAGCATAACAAATCTGAAATATGGTGCATCTTATCTTTGGCCTTAAACGGTGTGAAGTAGAATGAGAGAACATTCAAAGGTGAACAGAACATTCAAGGAAACAGAAACAAGTATTTTTATAAAGGGAAAAACTCCAGAAAGCAGAACCACAGTCATCCTTAAAAAGCACTGAAGTGGAAGCAAAGGGTTTGCTGCAGCTGTCAAAACATGGCAGCATGGTCAAGAACAGGATGGACGTAGAATGGTCTGAACTGCTTCTCCTCCAAGGAAGACAGTCGTAGATCAAGTGTGCTGCAGTGTTGCACAAGGTCAGGATCCACAAAGTTTGAACACCCCTGTGGGCAGAGGTTGACTGCACGATTGCATTGCTCCTCAGGCTGTACTACTTGCAGGCAAAGCCTGTAAATCAGCACACTTCTCTCAGTTATGAAGCTATTTCTAATAAATGTGTGTAACCAGATCTATGTTTGCTCTTTATAGTACCAAGTCATGTTGAGAGCTGACCAAGGATCCAAGAAGGGCTCAACCTTCAAAACCCAGTACCAATTGAGCTAAAAGTAAACCTGTTCTGTTTACTACAGAATAAGACAACCTCAGTTTATGTACTGTTTATTTTGAATTAAAAATAAACTGCTCTTCAAGCACATGCCAGATATTACGTATGTGAATGTTGCCAAGCTTGCACTATAACTTATACTTGTGTCCAAATTACAAGTGTATGCTTATATACATTGGGATATGTGCACATGCATGTCACACAATGCTAGTTCTTTACTGTTGGACTATTCTTGTACCATTGTACTATTTACTGCATTATTCTTGAAGGAAAAAGGTACCAATCCAGTGCCTGCTTATTTCATCCAAGCACTGTACTTTGTTTTTCACAGTAACAGAATAATGTGACATTTTTGAAAAGCCAGTGGCTTTCAAACTGTTTGTCAGAGGCCCAAGTAGGTCTTGGCTGCTCTCCTGTTCCTTTTAGCAGAAGAACAAAGAGGACCAGTGGCTATGCCTGACTAAATCCCACTGTCTCTTGCCTCTTTTTTGCCCTTTGGCAGTGTTCTTTTACATAGACTCCATGGTTTTAGCTTAAAAACAGCAAGCCATGATCCATTTCCCTGCTCAAGGAGGCAGAAAAAGCCAACAAAACAACCCCAAAGCAATTTTCATTTATCTACTTTTGAACTAGGAAAAAAAGGAAAAAAACCAACCAGAACCAAATAAAGCCCAAATAAAGAAGGGGATTCCTCCTATTACATACCCCAGTAAGTTAATCTACAAAACCTGTGATGAAAAACATGTTGTAAAAAATAAAAGTATTACTCATTCAATACAGTACATAATTTTTCCTATATAAGAAACTAGACAAATATTAAAATATTTATGTCTTTAAAAAGGGCAAAATTCTGCAAAAAAAAGTACTCAACACTACTAAGGTTAGACTACACATTATGCCAATGCATTCATTTGCACAATTTTTGCAACATGACAATGATCTTGGGTGTGTGTATGTAGGTATTTATGTCCATTTGAAGGAAATAGTGCAAGAATGCTAAGGGTGACCACTGCCATTTTAAAGGGGGATTTCATAAATAATCAAACAAAACCCCTACAAGTACCAGTACACATCTCAAATACTGCAAGTCACATTCCACAGCCCTTGACATTAAAAAAAAAAGAAAAGAAAAAAGAAAAAGCCAGCAGAATTAATTCAAGTGCATTTGGAGTCAGTCCCTTGTGAACTACTGTTGTTTGCACTTTAGTTGCAGTGAATGTAAAGACACAGAAGTGAGTGCATCTTCCCCAGCCCTGCAAAGTAAGTCTGAGTTGAGGTACAATTTTCTGTGGTTTGCTCAACATTGTGGATGCCAAAACTTGAATGAAAAATTATGCTTGAAAAACATTTTGAAGAAAATTACATAAAATAATCTCTTAAAATGAGAAGCTAGTTTTGTGTAAAGGTAGTCTTTTTGGTACATAATCCTACCAGGACAACAAGCATGACACTCCTTCCCAAATTACGTTTGCCTTGGAGCTAATAATAATAATAAAGAAACCTTTACATTGTCCTGGTCATCTTTCTGACCTGATGTACCCCTTCCCATGAGCCTTGATCCACCACCCAGAAAAACCAGCAGGTATCACACCCTGGCTGAAACGTACATTGCTTCTTCACAACTTGTGTTCCACAGGAAAAGCACTTCCCTCTCCACATTTCACTTGTCTTTTGAAAATAACAGCGGGGAAATCTGCTGCCAGAGTGGTTAAAGTCTGGTGAATTCCCTGTGGTGCTGCAAGTCCCCTATGCTCTCGTAGTCGTTCTCTCCTGAAGGAGCAGTGTGGTTTATGTTAGGCACGGACAAGGTCCTGTCTTCCTCTTGGCTCACTGACTGGATAGCTTCATAGTCCGGCTCCAGCTCTCCGTTTGGTCTGTCCACTGACTGAGGCACAGTGGTAGAATTTAGGGTGTTTTCAAAGTCCTTCACACTTGCATAGAGGCCACTGCAAACAGATGGGGACCTCTGAGATGCAATTTCTTGAATGCAGGTGTAAGGAGAATCCAGTGCCTTGATGGCCTGTCCCGGCTTACTCACCGATGAGTACATGGCAGAGATCTAGGAAAAGGAGACACCTGCTGAGTATGGAGCATGCATAGAACTTGTGCAGCAGTCTGTACCCTTGTACTACAAGGATGTTGGCTATTTAAGAAAAGATGGGATCTTCTGATAAAAAGATACCTATTCTAAAAGGATATGATTTTTTCCTTGAGGGAAAAAAACCCACATATTTCTTACAAATCCTTCCTTTCTGGCATGTATTTATCGATTGGTTTTCTTTAAAAAAAAGAATGCTTTATAAAATAAATTTAAAAATGTAAAATTCCTTGAATATAAAAACCTGGTGAGAAAATTAGAACTGGGAAAAAGGGAATGGCTTTGTGAGCAGGAGCTCTTGCAAGTTTTAATATGGTCCTGGAGTCAATTTGGACTCAACAGGGAGAGAGGCATCAAAGGGAGGATCAGATTGAACTGCTGTAATGAAGGATGCTATCTGATCCTTAGGGTTTTAAAAACTATTATTGTTACTATTTTTAATGGTAGTGTCAACTTTTCTCCTTTTAGAGACACTGCAGTAGAAGAATAGTTGATTGTTTCTGTAGGCAGGACTAAATAGGCACCAACACATGTGAAGACAACATTAAAAATCTGTAGTTAAATTACTCACACCAGATAATAGCAAGTAGTGCCAATACTGATATGCAAGGTCTGCTCTATTGACTACACTTTGCCTACAAAGAAGAGCTGCTTCTCAAACACTGAGTATGTGAACTTTAGACTGGAGACTGAAACCTCTCAGCTGTAAACAGCAGAAAGGGAGACAGCATTTAATTCCTAACTGAAAATTTCATCTGGTGAGGGTACACTTCAACAAGTGCATGAAAGCAGCCCTTCATGAAAAGGTGGGGAGAAGCCCACATCCACACATGTCCCTCTGCTCAGGGATTACCTAGGCTGTTGCCAAGCACAGGAATCAGTCTTAATTCCCTCTCCCAGGCCAAATGGATACTAGTCCTTGCACAAGACAGATGGCTGAAATTCCCTGCACAGCTTCTCTGGTATCCAGTATCACAGTGCAACATAGCTCTTCTATTACATTTAAAGTCTTTCCCAAACATGCAAAGCCATCCTGGGTTTGTATAAATCCAGTTAAAAGAGTAGATTAACATGAAAATATCCTTTACCATTAGGCAACACAGCTGAAGCAGACAAACCAGAACACTTCTGATAATAATGGGATATTTTTTGTGTGTATGTTTGTGTGGGGTTGGGGTGGGTTGGTTGGTTGATTGGTTTGGGTTTTTTTTTGTTTTTGGTCTGGTTTGGTTTGGGATTTTTGGGGCTGGTTGGTTTTTTGTTTGTTTGTTTTAGAGGGACATCAACTTGGAGATGGCAGTATTTCTTACTTTTTACTGATTTCAGCTAACAAAAAATGGCTTTTCTGCTCATCTATACTTCAGATCTTCACAGTATTAGATTACATGAACCCACTTCAAGATCAGGTTATTCATTAATGGCTGGGAATGCTTCTCCCAGCAGAAGGCATTAGCTCACTTAGTTCATTGCCAAGTTTGTGTTTAGTTTTATGTCCAGAGAACATATTTATAAATGGCATGGGTATACTGGAGATGATCACAAACAGCTTTATTTATGCTTAATTTTTCTCTTTGTTTAACTCACCTCCATTTATCTGACCAAGAAACATTTTAAAGAACAGTTTATATTCCATATAAACTGTGCTTTTATTGTGCTTCAGTCTACTTCCCAGAGCCCCAAACACTTTGCATGGGGAAGGTGGAACATATGTTTCAAAAGGCTGCCGGTTATTCTTCTTGAGAAGGTTTTGTCAACCAAATCAAGAAATTACCCTAACAATCAACTAATTATGGCCTCCTATTATTTTCTGAAACGATTTTTAACCTATGGGCCTGATACAGCCAGATGTTAGAATACTTCAGATTTTAGGAACATGGCAATAGAAACTCTGTGCAGAGAAACTCGGGCTTTCATTTTTCTTTCACACAAGTTCCACCTTTCTTAGGTTCTGCTTAATCATGCAGAGTTTATGCTAATTTCTGCCTAAAAATTGGTCTCTAGTTAGTTACTGGATTGCATGCAAGAAACCTACCTCATCTTCTGTAAGAGATGGATCTTCCTCTCGAGACTTGTAAGACACTGAACTAAGCCTCTGTAAAAAAGGAAGAAAGAAAGAAAATAAAAGGTTCATTACCCATCAACAGTGTGAAATCTATAACAAAACCTTCCCATTATAATCAATACATTATATTTTATGATCATTTGCTCTCAAGTTCAATTTTACATAGCTAGTACCCCCACTATTCAGAGTGCTTCTCTGGAGATAACAGCCCTGAGGTTAGCAAAGATTTTTAATGTATCTGCTCTTGTCCTGACCCGAAAAGGGTAAAAATAATGCAATAGTTAAAACAAACGCTGCACCACTGTATCCCTCCTTTACACCTTTTATGAAGTATCTGCTGAGGCTTCTGAACAATTAGAAGACAGCTCTTGGAGTACACCAGTTGCCCTTTCACAGGATTTTCAGATATACTTTTAGATGACAAAAGAACAATACTCAGCTGACACTTTCTGGATGATTGTTACCCTTCATTCTGTAGATCCTGGACATTCTGCATGGGAGCGCTGTGTCCTCCACCCCTGGAATGCCGTCCCTGTGCAGAGGTGCTCAGCAGCCTGGCCTCACAAGCACTCAGACCTGCTGCAGCCCACCCTGAGCTGGAGCCAGGCCACACAGCAGATCACTGAAGGATGGAGTCTAATTGCAAGCATCTAAAATGTTCTGTGCAAAAAGGTCATGAAAAGTCAGGGGAAAAGCATTTTGCTCTTATGAAAAATGCCTTTGGACCTTTACAGCGACAAGGACTCTGCTGCTACACAGCAGCTGTGGGATGCCTCCTCCCTGGGCCAAGAAGGCTTTGCTGGACTCCTGCTACACAGTGATTCAGAGGGAGCCCTCCAACACTGTAACTGGCTGTATTTTGGCCTCTCACACAACTTCTCCAAGTAAAATACTTCATACCACCTCCAGTGCAAGCCAACATGGAGGACTAGAGCTATTTTTAGCACAGTCAATAAAATACCACTTCCAGGCACAAAACTTGGGTTTTTTTGGTGGTTTGTTTTTTTTTTTTTTTCCTTTCTTTAATCAGAGGCTCATTGTGATAGATTCTTTCCTCCTTCCATTTTCTTGTTGTTTTTACTTCTGGTAAATACCAAACTTCAGGTTTCTGGGCACTTCTGACAGACCCTGGCCCAAAACACACTGAAGTTCTGCCTGCTGCACCCAAAGAGCTTCCCTCACACCAACAAACCCTCTCACTTCTTTCTCACTGATTGGAGAATAGTACTCTTTAACTCTGGTTTGTTTACTCTTAAAAAAACCAACCAACCAAAAAAAAAAAAAAAAAGAAAAAGAAAAAGGAAAAATTCAAATATATTTTGGCCTTGTATTAGATCTGCTTCACTACAGCAACTTAGTTTTTCCTATCTGCATCTTTTTGTGCTGGGGAGTAAGCTACTAATTTCATCCTCGCACATTAAAACAAACATGTGCTCATAAAATTCTTCAGTGATTTTTCTGTCATCAGTGTGTCTATAAGCACCATGTGTCAGGACCCCTTCTACAGTTTCCCACTCAAGTACTGATAAATACCCCAAGGTGTTTGCCATCCTGTGCTGTTTCCCTGATACAGCATTCTTTCTTCTAAATGTGAAGCTTGTGACACACCCGTTTTGGAGGATATTGTTATCTTGGAAACTTAAATCCCACTTGCCCCTAAACATTTTGTACCTAGCAACATTTCAAACTATGCTGAAACCTCAACAGTAGCAACACAAACAACATGTGTCCTTATTTGCCTTCCGCTTCCCTTTCCTTCCTCAAGAGCACTTGATATTTTGCTCTTTGGCTCAGCTGCTGCTCCTGACTTGGGCAAAAGAACAAGAACATTCTCCTCTGGTGCATTTGTAAGAGATGCTTTGCCCATCCTCAGGCTATGCAAGGCTGAAATCAGATGGCAGCAGCCAAATGGACACACAGATAGCATTTCTACCAGTGCTCACTCTGGAAAGACCTGGATGAAAAAGGAATTCATACTTCCTTTTTAAATAAAAGAAAGAACTAAAGAAATATATTCTGCTTTTTCAGTATTATTAGAATAATGATGTTCAAGGTTTTGAAGGTGATAGAGGCCTGTAAGAGGCCTCATGATATTAAAGGTTTCTTTCATCATCAAGTCTTTCCACAGGATTTGGCTGGGTCATAGCCAAAAACTAGTTTAGGTAAATTTTCATCCATTGCTGCATACCTGGCTCTTAAAAGGATGCTTTGTTGTTTTCATGCTGTTATATACAGGAATGGTCTCTGGTTTGGTCCACCTAGTTGTCTCCTAGATTGGAATGCTTCAGGGACTTGCATAGGCTGGGATCTCACCCTCTTTTAGGTGGTGAGACTGTAACAGCTTGGACACTGTTCTCTCCTTTTACCTGTTGGCAGGTACAAGCCTTGGTTACAGGTGCCTCCCTGCCTGTCCCTTCTTTGTGCCCTCATTATAGTGAGGGAGACTTGCATGACGTACACACAACCTCTGTCTTCATCAGGGCCAGGACAGAAGGTTGAAGAGTTTGGGATACAGATGTCATGCTAAACAAAGCAGCTAAGTAGACTCATAGAAGAGGAAGCAAAACCAGAAACCCCTATGGGGTCTACCTAAAAGAGTTATTAGTGCAACATACATTTCCATGAACATCTTGGTTTTGCTTGCCACATCGAAAAAGACATTGCTCTGCATTGCTTGAAGCAGCAAAATACAGGGAAAAACTATCATCATCACAACAGAAAAACAACCCCACAGCCCCCTCCCCACACAATGCCAGCAATAATGACATTTATGTATTCCATCAATTACCATCTCCAGCTCTGCTGCAGCTGTAGCTCTCAAGGACAGGACAGGCACACACCTCAATGCATAATGCATGTACCCAGCAGCGAGCACGGCAATGAGCTGATGCTGCCCAAGATTTAACTCAGGGTGGCTTCAGCTCTGAATAAATTTTAATTAGACAAACACCTTTTTTCTGGCACTTAGGGGACTGCATGTGTCATCTCTTGATTAATCCTTCAAAACCTGAACCATTTTAATCAATTCCCACTCCTGGCAGTTACTGACAGTGCATACATGGTGTGCTGGGGAGCTACAGAGCAGCAAAGGCTTTTCCTTTGTATTGGTGCCTGGGAAATACAATTACTTTCTGCTAGTCTTTTCACACATAGTAGGAAAAATGTCACTGTTACACTAAGCTGTTTATCTAAAAGTTTAATTAGAAATTACTTATGGCTGGAATGTGGGAGAGGGGAATGGTGCTGGATTATTGATGACAGTCACATCTTAATTTTTTACTTAATGAGATCATTGTTGTAAAAACGTGCACTGAAGAATCTAGCTGAACAATTTTTATACTGCAAGAAGTCTTCAGTTTATTTATTTGGACTATATTGTGCTTTACAAGTTACATGGTTTGTTATTTATTTAACAGGATACTCTTCTGCCTTCTTCCTGGATTACTGAAATTCTTCAAATAAGAGAACAACCAGAAACAAGTAACAATACCTCAGCTCTGCTGTGATTTTTCACGTAAATGTTTACATTAAAAAGTCACATTGCATCTTAAGAATTTTTTTGAAATTTTCATCAATACCTACCTAATATTATTTGATGACTCAGACACCAAAAATCTGCTAAACCTACAGCTCTTTCATTCCAATTAATAAGAAGATATATAAACATTCTGAAAAATGCAAACTCAACATTTTATGAAACGTCTTTGCTATGATCTGAAAGCATCCTTAAAATTACTTCCAATAAAAAACTACAAATGCGAAAATAAACTGTTGAAAATGTCATAATTCTATATTTTAAGGAATTCACCATAATTCATTCAGCAAGCATAAGCTGCTGAGAAAACTTAACTTTTGGCTGTGATTTCAGCACTTAGAAATTCCTTATACTCTGTTTATATGTGATATACAGAATTTGACAAATACAGCTGCAATCTCTTTCTATCCCTCCCTCCTGCAGCAAAAGACAAAGTGAGTGTCTAACACTTGCACAGCTAAGTCAAGGTGGCCCATCGAAAGAGGCACATCTAAAGTAAGGACATCCACCAAGGATGCCCCCCTCTCCTTTTTGTAAGTTGCAGTTTCATTAGAAAAAAAAAAGAGGAGGCTTCAGAACAACATATAGATGGTGACAGAGATACGGTCCCTTTGTAATAGCTTCCACAAATATAATACATCAAATAAAGAAGCAGAAGCCTCCTATGCAATTTCTGGATATTATTTGGGAAAAGCCTTATGTAGTGCATAGCTCCAGTCAAAAATACAGACAGCAGTAGAAGGAGCCTCTAATGCAAAGATTCTACTATACATTACCATATTTCCATTTACAGTCTTGCTTCATCTGAGTGGGGTTTCTTTCTTGTTATTTTTTATTACTGAAAAATAAAATCCTTTCCCACCCATATGTTCTCCATCATTATCTGGCTGTTTGATGAGGACAAATATTTGCAGTATTTACCTTTTCTGGTTTACTTGCTCCTTCTGTCACTTCTTCGACTTCTTTTTCTTGCACATTTTCATTTTCATCAAGAAGTTTCATGGGTACTGGAGGGGGAAGCTCATCCTCTACATCTGGTATGTTGTCAAGAGGACTTTCTGAATTTGCACTCTGGCGACTCTTCTTATTTCGGTCAACAGATGCATATTCTGCTGACTCAATTCTGTTCTCAGGAATCTGATTCTGACCTTCAGAAACTGTCAGTGAAGCCTTTGATTTGCTGTTAGAGTTCCCTTCCATGCTGACTACTGCTCCAACATCTTTAATTTCCTTCACAGTTTCATACAAGCAGTCTTCAACTATGTTCTCCTGAGAGGAGCTGTCTTTCAAGACTTCATAAGGCCCTTCCATTCCAAGACCTTGATCATTTTCTGCATTTCTAGATGAGATTATAGTTTCCATGGGGTTGTTAGGGGGAATACTGGGTAGTTCCCGGCTCTGGTGACATTTTATAGACTTTCCAAGACTATCCTGTTGATCTAGTAGATCAGATGTCTGTACTTCGTCATAAGGCTGGATACAGGCAGCTGTACTGTCTTCAGAAAGAACTAAAGAAAATTACAGAGAATTATTACAAACAAAGGCATAACTAAAAGGTGTGATTTACATCACTTTGCTCTCTACATCACTTTGTTTTTGTGACATGCGGGAAAGGATAAATGATACTAATGCCTGGAAATGCCTAGTGATTAGCATGCTTTTTGCTTATCAAAAGGTTTCAGTTATTTCAGACATTTCTGCCTACTGGTAAAATTCCTTTATTCTACTGGTAAAATATCTTTCTCACAACATCTAAAATAGTCAGTACACCCCCAAGTCACATTATATGGCAACAGCATTCACTGTCAGAACAGGAGGTGGGAGGTTAGCTGTGCATGGATATCCAGCTGCCTTGTACTCAGTTTCACTGAATGATTACAGAGTGCTCAGTAGTCTCAGATGGGAAGGAAACAGGTGGGAGGCCTCAAACCAAGCGCCTTAAAAAAATCCTCATTAGATTTTCCTCTTTGCATTTCCCCATTCTCTGGAATCAAAAGGAAAGTGTTCCTTCCTCCTCCCTGCCATCCTTCAGCTTGTTTAACATGCTGGCCCAATTCTCGTTGGGATTACACTTCGCCCAGCCCTCCCTGCACGCTACAGCAGAAGCTCTCACCGAGGCTGAGCCATACTTCTCTTAGTCTCGCAGCACATAATGTTGGTTGACAACCTACTAACGAGCCAGCCATATGCACAAGAGAGAAGACTAGACTTCAGAAGGTAGTGTCAGGCAGAACATGTTGTTTCAGGTCCCAAAAGAGGACCACATGCCATTGTCACTAGGGGGTATTAGGGACTGAAATGTATGGGACTTCTCGTCTTACACCACACATGTGACATTTGCATGCATTCATGGGCATATACAAGCATGTTTCAAGCACGGTAGGTAACTTTACCTCACACTTTTTCTTTAAAAAAATTCCTAGTACAGTTCCTAAGGCACTATCTCAACAAAAGCAACCCATTCTGTGTCCTTCAGTGTGTTTGACATGGTGACAGAAATGTTGCCAAAGCAGTCAGTGCCCTTGATTTGGTGGTTGCCATGGTCATTGCTTTCCCTTGTGTTCAGGGCATGCAAACACAGTCAGCACCAGCAGGGAGCCATACCCTGACTGCAAAACTCAGGACAGAATGGGAGGTATAAGATGATAATCACTGTCTGAATGGGAGAAGGGAGTTTTGCCTTTCGGGTCTTTGATTCTAGGGATTTCTGTGCTGTGCTGAGCACCCTTACTGAACCCAGAAAGCACAACCCATTCAGGCTGGAGGGGATAATCAAAAGCAATAAGAGCTTACGTTTTTTGTATTTTTGTGGTTGTGGGTGGTAGCACAGAAGGGGTTGGTGTAGCTGAAGGGTTGGCATAGAAAAGACAATGCTGGCAGGTTGGGTAAAGGAAAAAAACACAGCATTTGATGGTTCTTCTTCCATAACCCTACCCCTGCTTATAAAGCTAGCAGAAACAGCAATTAAAAGAACTATTAATAAAAAGTGCATAAAGTATAAGTAAGAAATGAAAGCACAGGGGTTCCTGTTATTCAGAAGGGCTGTTGTGCAGGGTGTAAGCTGAGTATAGTATCAGACAGTCTGAAAACTGTCTGCTGGTTGACAGCACACCTTTTAGCAGCAGCTCTGACAGCTGCACATGTGGTGACTCATGGCAGAGAGAAATACTTCCATTCTGCAGGGCTTTGCTCTGCACATCAAGTCCCTCAGGGAACCACACACCTACATACACAACAAGCCAATGGATGGGAACAGCAATTAGCTGCAAAAACAAAGTTTAAAAATTACTTTGGATACTTGTCTCTAAGGGGTAAAGTCTGAATAGCTTAGCCCCTGGTTACAGGAGATGAGGAGAGAGCTGTAAGCTGGAGTGCAGCCCCTGGTGTTGGTGTTAGTGTGAAGACAATAGTTGGCTCTCAGTGGCTCCAAGCTGAGAGTGAGTTTATTTTTAGGTACAGCTGAGTAAAATATTTTCCAGTGATACTTCAGGGTGAATCATTTTGAGTGTTCAGCAAAGCAAAGACTAAGGAAAAAAAAGGAAGCCTATTTATGTTGCCTGTTTTCTAAAATGTAAAAATATAAGTGACAGCACAGCACAGTAGTGTGACCCAAAGTTGTAATCGTGGAGGAGGACCTGAAATATTTCCACAGCCTCCTGAAGCACTTTTGAAACTCAAAGGTTCAGCTTCATCTTCTGGTTTTATCCCAGTTCCATAGCTTACCAAGATTAGGGAAGGTCCCATTCTCTGCCTGATGACCTGGTCAATCTGCAGGTATGGCTTGGTGACCCAGACCTGGCAGGCCAGGAGAGGACCTCAGCACCTCCCAGTGTTGGCTGGCATGGAGGAGTGGGAGCAGGGGTGTAGGGCTGTGCCAGAGCACACCCAGGATTGAAGTGGAGAGGCAGGGATGCAGCCTAAACCACCTGAATCTCCATGAGATGATCACCTCCACTGACTTCCCAGCAAGGCAAACGACTCCATGGCATTTTTAAACTCGGTTGTAAGTTCTGTGTGATCTGGTGTCAGTCGTGCAGAGGTGCCCAGAGTATTCTGACAAATGGCTTGCCTGTGTGCTTGGAAAGCTGCTGGCTAGAAACCTGAAACCTGAGGGATCCCCAGCGAGCAGCTGAGGTGGGAGCTGTGGGCACCGGGACGGTGCCGCTGCTCACCCCACCGCAGGGCTGCCACTACTCACCCTCACCGTTGCTGAGGGCCCCGTTCTGTTCACTGTTCAGGGGAGGCTCCGTAACAGAGCTGGTGATGGAATGGCTGAACACCTCCTTCTCGGAAGGCTGCAACACAGATCAGAGACCACAGGACCAGAGTAAACCTTCACACGAGCACACGCGCAGCGCATTTCATTCTCGCCTCCGGAGCTCTGACCACAGGCATTATCAGCAGGAGAAGCAAACCATGCCAGCTAGATTAAAGCATTTAAGTGCCTGTGTTTACACATGTTAAAAAGAAATAAACGCCAAGATGTCCAGAGCAATGTCCTTTTCAAGCTTTATGGTCATAGACATTACTATGGCTTTAACCTGTGAGAAGCAGCAGCTGACAAAGGGTACGCTGCCCTTTGTACCCTGCAATGTACGCTGCCCTTTGTACGCTGCAAATGGAGCCAAAGAAAGGCTGGAGTACAGTAGTGGCAGAAAAAGTGCAGATTATCAGGATCTACACAAGTTTTCCTCCTCTTCCTGTTCTGCAACTTTTAGTTTCCCATTCTCAACCATCTTGAAATTCCTGAGCAATTTTCTAATCTGTTGTATTTTGCAAGGAGCTTGGTACAAACCAACCACAAGACAGACAAAAGCTGCCAGAAATAAATACTCACCACATTCATTAGATTTTCATGATCTCCATTCTGATTTTTGGCCTTCTTTTCCCTTAATGAAAAAGACACATGAATTTTTACTAAAAATTATGCTAATATACAAATACCAATCATTCATAGACCTTGCACTCCTGCAGGGAACAGAACTATGATTCACGATAATACTGAAAATGGAATAACTGAAAATTATTACAGGAATTTGCATGACCTCTGTGTAAAAACACTGTTGAGGCAGAATGGTGATAAACATAACTGAAGAGATACAACAAACACACAAAACCCTTCTTCTCACTCAGTGTAAGATCACAGTGAGAAGTGACTGATGATAATTACATTAATGTAAATAATTATGTAGAGATAGGACATGGGGGAATGGCTTCAAACTGAAAGGGAGTAGGTTTAAATCAAATATTAGGAAAAAATTCTTTACTGTGAGGGTGGTGAGACACTGAAACAAATTGCTCCAAGAAGCAGCTACTGGTGGATGCCCCATCCTTGGCAGTGTTCAAGGCCAGGCTGGATGGGGCTCTGAGCAACCTGCTCTAGTGAAATGTGTCCCTGCCCATGACAGGGAACTAGATGATTTAAAATCCCTTCCAACCCAGGCCATTCTATGATAATAAAAATATTATTCTTCAATTTAGTTATATCTGAAATTCTCAGATACACATTCTGTTTACAGACTACTTAGGGAGTCCCTTAAATTGTGTCAGTAAAAAGTGTGTATCCTATCAGGAATTAGAAAAGGCCAAAAATATCCAGATAACTAAAAATGCTAGTCAAATTGATAAAAAGTATAAGCAGTTCAAAAAGGCATACAAATTTTACAGCAGCAGAGGCCTACATTTTTAAAGGAATTCCCTGGGTCCTTCATAGGAGTCTAAGTATGGATCACATTTCCAGTTTTTATCATTTGGGAAATATACCTCTTATTCAGAAATACTGCAATAAAGGATAAGTTTAAAATAATGTTTGTCCTTCCCCTAGATGAAAATTCAAATAAACAGGTGAGAAAATATTGACAATATGAAATTTTTGCTTTTTCTAAAGTCTGCAGTGAACTGTACTTCCACATTAGCAACTGTTAAAATTCTATCTAATTGGGACATAACAAAACAGCAGGTGAGCATGCACCAATGCAGAGCAGAGAAAGTTAAAAGCTGAATTTCCTCTCTGGAAGTTTTTCTTCCTCTGATATTTTAGAAAGAGCAAATTTTATTCAGTTTTCTATGTCCATTTTCGAAGAGTAAGCCAGGAAGAAATTCTGCACAATTATATTTATGCATAAACAACCTGCCCTACAGAATGACCTGAAACAAAAGATATTATGCCCAAACTAGCAACACAAGAATTTATTAAAAAACATCACCAGAATATTTCAGGCAATGTATCTCTGTAACTGCAAAAATTACTCAGTGGTTTGACCCATCTTTCTAGAGATGTTTCAAAGATTGGTGTGTTACAAAACAAAACACAAACTTACAGAATCATTTGAGTTGGAAAAGGCGTTAAAGATGATACACAGTACCTAAATGCAATGTCTGTGGGCTAAAGAATATTTTCTACTTTTAAATAAAATTTAAAAAATTCTACTATTTTTTTTACACAGATATCACAGGAAACTGTGGCAATAAGAAGATACTGAAGTGTCAACTTACAGTTTACGGAAGTGTTTTTCCTGAATCACCTGCAATTACATGTTCTAACTTAGGCTTTTTAGGGTTTCAACCAACTCTGGGACCTGTTTTTGCTCATAACTGTTTTTTGCATGGTGGGCATTAAATACATCCTGCTGAAAAATAAAGCCTTCCACTGTAGACACATCCTGTGCCAATATAGTGCATTTTATGGCTGCACAATTTCCTCAGTGTTCTCAAAGCTGAAGGGGTGAAAGCACATGCTCCATATAGGCATATGCATCCAAACTGTAGATTTTGCTGCTCTACTGGAATTTCCCCCTCCATGTATTTGGCTGATTCAGTTGTGCTTACAAAATCCAGCAATATGGACCACAGCAATCCCACTCCTCCCAGTGAAGTCTGACTGGTCTGGCCTGTGGAAGGACACCATGGACAGACTGCATCAGCAGGGCTCAGCTTACAAGTCATGAAGGAGCCTTGAAATGTGCATAAACAAAGTCAGTAGAAGTGCCTGTATTGGTGAAATTGAATCCTCTTATGGAGAAGAAAATAAAGATAAGGTATAAGGCATTAATTAGTACCTCTGTTTGATCCTTACTCATTTTTGCATGAAAGGCAAGATCAATACTATATTCCCTATACTTCAGGAATGGCCACAGCAAAGCTGAAAGTACATAATCACTTCCCTTTCCTTTTTTACCTAGACTTTTTTGTCCTATTTAGCCCGCCTAATATTCTCAGTTTCAGTTTAGGGGTGTGACCTGCTAATACTCAGTGTGTCTACCTGTGCTCCAGGCTTCTGCTTAAGGGAATAAACCCCTAATAAACCCTAATAAAACCACTGAATAAACATAATTGTGTACTTCCTTCACAGCAAAATAAAAATATAATTAGATTTTAGAATGAACAGAATTGTTCAATCTGAAGTTTGCTCTGTTTTTCTTTATTTCTGTACCTCAGTCCTCAGTATTTTCTGCTCACTATTTGTACATGAAGCTATGTCCAAAGTGCATCAAGAACCATTAAGCCCTGGAGCCTTACCCATTGCAGCTGGAGCAAAGGAAGATGAGGAAGGTGAGGAACAAGAGTGTCGTCATGGCTGCCAAACTTCCCCACAGGATTACGTGGATCTGTCCAGTGCCTAAAAAAACACCTCCTAGCCCCATGGTACTAGCAGGAGCTGGTATCACTTGGGGTTGAAGAAGTTACTCCTTGAAGACTGACATCTGTGCTGCATGCACCTTCTGTTTCTGCAGAAGGAAAGAAAAACACCATCAGAGGTTAAGAGAAATTTTGAAGATAATGGATCTGACAGCTACAAGTCTGGCAAGAGAGATTTTCAAATCCAGATCTTACAAAAAACAGTTTCAAGTACAAGCCAGCCAGCCAAAGAGATATTCAGCTACATTTCTGACAGTAACAAAGAACAGATTTGTCAAATATTAACGCAAGCTGTTACCTATCTACAATCTCAACATGAATAAAAGGTAGTACGACATCTCTGTACTTGCATTTTCAGGAGATTTATAAATCTGCTTTGAGGGCCAGAGTAATCTGTTGTGTGGTTATAGTTGCAAATTTCATTGAAAAGTGAGCTTTCGAAACTAGCTACAACTTCTGCAAAGTTAACAAGATAAAAGAGAGCTGCAGCAAACATTCACCTCCTTCCCTCTCAGTCTCTCCTGCCTGCAGGGGATTCAAGGCTTAAAGTGCAATGACAAAGAAACTAGGTAAGTCTTTGAAAGGAATACCACAAAAACCCTCCTCGAAGCAGATGAGATACAGTCTTATTTCTGTGTGACATGCTTATTTTCTCAATAGTGTATCTGGAGAGCAACATACTGAACTTTCTTTTTTTAGCTTCTCCCCACGTGAGTCTGAGAAAACAACAGAGCAAAGTAAACAGGGTGGTTTTAAAGAATTTGAATAAACACAACTTTTGCTACAGCACAGCAGCCCATGGGGAAGACTCCTGGGTAAACCTTATTTGTGACATATAAGTTTTAGTATACTATATTCTAAAATTCTGTACATATATTTAATGCAATACATTGTTCACGTGGCAAAATTAAAAAGAAATTATTGATTCTTCACTGCTGAAAGTATGAATTCCTCCATAATTTGGGAACAGGTTATGCAAAGCCTATTTACAGGCTTTCAGCCTGACTTGATTGATAAAAACTGAAATAGAATACAATGGCTAAGAAATGAGCAGATATATTTTAGGATTGAAAAAGTAGCACAAATATAAGATTGACAATGTCTAAAGCCACTAATGACTTACTTGAATGGATATATTTTTATAGGTTTTCTTTTGTATAGGAAATGTGTATGAACATTTTTTTTTTTGCAGCAAGAAGCATCCTTTATAAAAACAAATTTAATTAGGTACTAATATCATACTTGTATACAAAAACATATCACCATTTTGTTATTAAAATCTTACAAGAAAATAAGATTTATTTCCAGAAAAAGGCCATTCAGATCAAAGTAAATCTGGTGAATCAGAGAAGATACTTAGTTACATATAACAATTAAGTTATGTGACTGGGTAACTTGGGAAGCTCTTAGAAGTAACATTTCTGTTCCTGCATAAAATAGACTCATTCATTTCAACTATGCAGGATCATGAACACCTTCATGAACACTTCTGAACACCTTCCAAGAAGAATCTTACTAATTTATCCACAGTGGATAAAAGCTTTTTTTTTACTTTTTCCTTTTGATAATAGTGGCATTGGATATAAGTCAAAATGGGAAGAAACAAACAAAAGATGGAAAAACTTGCTGATTCTAAAAAGACCAGTATCAAGGTGTAGTTATATATATTTAGTTTGAGCAAGAAACAAGAAAGCCAGATATTGTGTAACTTCTCCAAACCCCTAAATAGACAGGAAGAACAGGTGCCACACACCTTGCAAAGCCCATACATCTTACTGGTAGTCTTGAGCACTGACACCCAAGAGCCAGCACTCTTCAGCGATGACCACTGCCAAGCAATGTGCCTCTCTGTTATCTTGGCAGCGCCTGGAAAATTAAACATTCAAAAGCAGTGGCAGATCACTCTAAAAATTACATACACAGCAGATGATAGAGCCCTGCCTCATCCCTGTTTTAAAGCCCAGGTTGGCTTATTTCTACTGTGAGTCATAGTCATAGCATTGACTGTGAAATGAAGAGACCTTAAGGGAAACTGAATCAAGTTTAGTCAGGAGAAAACTTGGTGTAATGCTCACAAAGACCTCCGTGCATTGGTATGGACTCCTGTACAGGTGATGGACTCTCCTCATCTAGAAAACATTACAAAGCACACTGTGCTGGCTGGCTTAACTAGCTAAAAAGCCTTGTTAAGAGATTGAATAGAAAGTACTTCCCTTTTAAACTTTTCTTTTTTGTGAATTTTCAAAGGCATTTTCTGCCTTGCTAAAACTGAAAAGAATTATTAAAATATATTTTTGTTTCTCTTGTCCAATCCTTTTGCCTTAAAAACTCCCTATTATTTTCTTTCCCTTGGGGGGGAAAAAAAAAAAAAAGACAAAATGAAAATGGAATGTAAAAACAAAGGAAACAGAACAAAATATTTTTTCAGCATTTTTGTTGTCTTTTTTCCTTGGTCTTCCCAAGAAATAAAAAGAATGCAAATGAAAAAAAAAAGAAGCTCCTTTTTTTCAAATATTGAAATAAAGAAGAAAGGTGAAATGAAGAAAGAAATGAAGAAATGAAGAAAGAAAGGAAGAAAGAAGGAAAGAAAGAAAGAAAGAAAGAAAGAAAGAAAGAAAGAAAGAAAGAAAGAAAGAAAGAAAGAACATAATAGGGATTTAAAGTCTTTTTCTTAAAACAGAAACACATTTTTATTTTCTTTTACAGCAGACACAGACCTGTCTTGAAAGATATTGAAATTATTTCTACTACTGAATTCATAATTTTGTATCTACTCTGAAGAAGGGTACTATACTCTCAGAAGACTAAGTAATGTAACTTAAGCTAACACTGTAAAGAAAGTGTTCTAAATATATATACTTAAGATCCCAGGACTTTAAATAAAGATAATATTTAAGCTAAGGAAAGTTAAGGATACATGTGGAGCAGCCCCATGGAAAAGCTGCGTCTTTGAAGGCTTCAGCACAGAGTTAGGAAGTGGTGAAATGAGCCGAAGCAGATGGAGCTCAGACTGAACTTCAAAAGGAGTGAGATCAGACACAGTCAGTCAAGGAAGACCTCTACGTGTCATGTCAGGAGTGAAGCACAAGAGTGATGCTACACATGAGGCATCCCACCAGGCAGAAGTCAAAGCAGCAAAGGGAATGACCAAGGCCAGAAGATGCAGTTAAGTTACAGGAAACCAGCCCAAAATGCTTTGATGATATGCTGAGAGACGGAGCTCAGAAAAGGACAGAAAAGCACAGAGGCACTTGAACCAGGGGAGGTGACTGCTGCAGACACCTGTGCAAACAGAACAGAGAAATAACTAGGAACAGACTGATGACAGGTGAAGCCCTGAATGAAGGAAGCTGAGCAGGCAAAATGTGACCAGGGATTCCTCTTGGCTCTTTGAACAGCAGGAGTTTAGCATAAGTACTAAAGGACTTAGAATCTGCTCAGCACACATGACAACCAGAATGTTATATAATTATATACAATTATAACACAAAACCATCTCAGTCTTCCACTACCTAAAGGGGACCTGCAAGAAAACTAGTGAGGGACTTTTTTAAAGGGCATGTAGTGATAGAACAAGTGGAAGTAGCTTTAAACTGAGAGTAGGTTTAGATTAGATCTCAGAAGGAAATTTTTTTACAGTGAGGGTGGTGAGGCACTTTTTTCTGAGGTTGCCCAGAGAAGCTGAGGGTGCCCCATCCCTGGAAGTGTTAAACATCAGCTTGGATGGAGCTCTGAGTCAACCGTATCTAGTGAAAAGTGCCCCTGCCCTGGCAAGTGAGTTGGAACTGGAACCTTTAATGTCCCTTCCAACCCAGGCCATTCTATGATTCTATGGCTCTAGATTCATCCTCTGTGGTCCCTTATCATGAAGTGACATCAGAAGGCTTACTCCTTCTGGTTAATGCCTCCCAAAAATGAGGCTGAAATAATATTCACCCAGGCTGGTGCCTTTAACACAGCAGAGCTCCTGGAATGCTTGAAGCTGGACCAGCACCCATCAGCTGCCCCAGCCAGCCCTGGCCAGAAACCTGGCAAAGACATACATTGAGAACACAACTGCCTGAACTCCCTCTGCTTCCACTATGTGAATGCCTGGACAAAACATCAATGCCTAAGACCTTAGATTTAGGAGATTCTCCAGAGGCTAGCTTTAAAGAGAAACTTATTTGAAATTGTAATGATGGAACAACAAGCATCTAATTTCTAAGAGCTCTCTGACAGCTGAAACGATTAACTCCTACTTTGACAATAGAAAGTGATATCGTGCTGCCCTCTGGTGAATCTCTCTGTTCGGGGTCTGGGATTTGTGGCTCTTCCGAGGGTGCTTCAGAGTTCGGTTCAAACTCTGCTGTTACAGATGGAGTTCACATGGGGCCCTTCATCTGTCAGGCTCAAAACAGTCCTACCTCCACCCCTGGAAGTCTGTCAGACTCAAACAGTTCAACCTTGCAGACACACACTGCTGAGACACAATAGTGTCAATGGAACTGTTTGGGGCTTTTAAAATTATTTTCCTGTGTGACAGCCCTTTAAAGATGAAGATTTCTTCCACTGTACCCTTTCCACAGAACTCTGCACGCAAGTTGTTTGGGATGCTGAACTCTTAAAGAGAATAACAGAGAAAGGCCTAGAACATGAGGGTAAGAAAACTGCTTATTTCAACTATGGCAAAATTTAAACAATAGTCTGCATTCACATTACAAAGTCACTACCAGTTCAGAAAACAAATTTCTACACTATATTGGATAAAATTTCTTCTTCTTGTGGGAACTTCTTGCTTTTTAGACATCAATATTTCCCATTATTGAAATCCCTATGATAAATGATGCCTGTAGCCATTCCTCAAAATTCCACTTAAATGCCCAATTATATTTGTGGTTTCATGACAGGTATTTTGTTGCATAACCACACTTTTATGGTGAATAATGTGTTATTTTTGCTTGCGGCTGTTGCAGGGATAAAACAGAACTGAGGTAGTTCAGGCTGACGTGATGATGAGGAGAATGCAATTTTGGTTCCGAAAACCTGTATCTGGAGTGAAGCAGATAGCCAGGCTGCAACACTGGGGAACACAAAGCACAAATGAAGC